TTTCAGCGACGACATGCAAGGCAACTTAGGCTAAGCGTATGACAGGTCTTACAGTCTGGCTAATTGCAAGAAACAGTATGCATGGTAATGTTTATCGCACGGCGGAGGCCAACTCATGGCGGACGTCGAGGGGCAGAAGAGCCAAGTCGGGGTTGGTCTGCTGGCACGGAAAGCGCCGGCGACTTTCAATCTACGAGCGCCAGAAGGCCTCGACATTTTGTCTAAGTTCCGCGGCCTTCACTTCCGAATCAGACTGCCTGGCCATGATAATCAAGTCTCGCAAACGGGATGTCTGCGTTCGGTTCGTCGTCCAGTTTTGTATGCGTACCGACTCCACCGCGTTGCACTTAAGCCTGTCGGCTCAGGAGGTGACACAGTTATCGGGGAGGCCACAATTAGTGATGTGCGGGCCCGGCTTGGGCTCAAAGCCCGGGCTTGGGCTTGTGGCGACGTCGAGCCGAGCCCTGAGCCCGAGCCGAGCCCGAGCCCGGCCCAAGCCTTGGGCTTAAGCCCGGGCTTGCTCACAATACAACGAGTGTTCCGGTGCTATCAAAAGGGAATGTATTTGGATGTAGTAGATCAATACTGCATGTACTCACTAAATTATAACCTCCAGAAGATCTACACCTGTGGAACAAGTCGAGTCGCAGCGAAGTCCACGAGCGTGCGCCTACGGCAGGCACCAGATGGTGACGCACAATCGTGCTCGGCGGGAGCCGTTACATCTAGAATATCTACATTTTGTCTTCTATGTGCATATTAGGTCGCTCTCTCCTTATTATGAACTCAGGGAACGGTAACGGAGCCAGCACACCCAAGCCTGGGCTTCCGGGCCGGGCTTGGGCTTGACTACGCTCCGAGCCCGGCCTTGAGCCCGCTGCCAGGCTTGACTCGGGCCAGGCTTTTTGGGCCGGGCTTGGCGGGCTTGGAGGCTTTGAGGCCCGGCCCGCACATCACTACTCCTAGTCAGTGCAGTCAGTGCACAGCTAAGCAGTCACATAGTCGCCGTGGTAAGCTGGGACATACTCTGTGCTCAGCTTTGGCGACATGTTGTTGAACTCGGCGCATCCAGCGAGATGCGGAGACTCCACAAAAGCGAACGAGGTGCGTACCCAGTTGAACTGGATGTAAGTCGGTAAAATTGAACCACATGACCGACCATCAGTGACGGCAGAGAGATGACTCACGATATTTGTACCAACTGATACTGTTCCAAGCGTAAATACAGCCGCGAAGAAGACGTATTTCATCCTTGAGCCTTGCCAGAGCGCGTACACACGCAGGGCGGAGAATGCTATGTAAAAGACAATCAGTCTATCTTTGTGTAATTCAGCAATATATATATATTTAGTGCTCACTTGAAATTAGGACTGCAGTCATCAAATACACAAGCATCTCCAGAATATAATTCGGCCCACACCCCGTATGAGATGCAGTGGTTTTTCAGAGGATGTTGTGCTGGAAATTGTAATGTACACCTGCAGAGCAGTGGCATAAGTTCTGTTTATTCTTGGGCCCCAACACACTTACACCACTCTTGTCTATCAGGTAGTACAGTTAAAAAAAGTGGACCCAGAACCATGAGCCACCGGATAGTAAGCAGCAGTAGTGAGGTGGTGGTGAATTTTCTTCTCCACACTGCCGCAATTTCTTGGTCCAGTGTTATGATATATTCATAGACCACAAGGCCTGAGGGTGAAAATTTATTAGCAGAGTGTTACCGTCCGAGGCTAAGAATGAAGCAGCGTACACTGTAGCGAATTGGCTACATCAATTACTATCAGGCTAAATAAATTGCTTGTACGTCAGAAGCAGAACACGCGTGTTCCGAGGTGAGAGAGCACATACTTCTCCTGTAGCACCTGCCTCAGGTCTTCGTTTGACTGTGCCATGTTGTTTGTGGTACACAGAGGTGCTGAGAAGGGGCTGGTTGTTGCAGAGAGACGAACTTACATAGAGGTTATATATATCGCGGTACATGTGGTGTTGCGCGGCAGCCCATTTCAGACCCCATGGTCACCGCTCATTTTTGCACGCGGGAATCTGACCGTTGTGACAGCTACCACATTGGATTATCATGTGTAGTGTAAAATTTGGAGATTAGCACAGCCCATGGCCACCCGTGAAATCAGATGGAAGTGCGGCGGGATCGCCTGGTGGACATCAAGAATGCCGTGCGTGTTGCAGCAGGTTCCGCACTATAAAACATTGCATAATTTTGCACCCGTGTATAAGGGATCTACATCACTAAAGATGCTCACCTTGTCGCTCTACGGCAGGCTGCGGTGCGGCCAGAGCATGTTGTCGTCTCAGCTCTGTACGATAGCATTGGGAGTTCACACATCGTCTCAGTTCATTAAGCTATCTGGCTTAATAGAGAGATAAGAACTATTGCGACTCAGCCTCAAATGAGCCTTCACCTACTCCGAGCCTATCTCACCACTCTGACACTGTCATATGGCCTCGTCACCACTTCGAGAATGGTTACACGCCCGGCCAAAGTTTTCAGTCCATGATCAACTTGTAACGAAGTAAATCTGACAGATGCCGTGTGCCAGGCGATCAACTACGCTCGTCTGGCGTTCGCCCGGCCACGTTCAGTATGGCGCACCATACGATGGCGGTGCAGGCGTGATGCGAACGAAGGCCGAAGACACGAGCAGTATCGAAGCATGTAACTGGGCTGCGGGGCCAAAGCTCTATATTACGCCCACATTGAAGATCGCGGGCGCGGGTTCTGTGGCGTCTGCGGGATAGTCTTCTCCACCCATCACCCGTATCCATCTACGTATCGTCTCCGCCATTGCCAGGCGGCTCGCCTCTTTTGATCTGTCGGCTTCGTCAGCTCTGGGTTTCGTCACTTTGCTCTCCACTCGCACATACCATAACGAGGTGCTAGCCGGCCCTGGCGGGCGACCGTCAGTATGAAAATGAATCACTGTCTTATGATCAAAGCTGAGAATACTATTCGCCATTTTCGGCAGCGGCCTGGTCAGCTTCTCGTTCACGGGTGTCGTGGTCGATGAATAGATAGCTTCAAACATGTTCACTACGTATGAGACACGAGACGAATTAGTTCCTCTTTTGTGTAAAAAGAGGTCCAAAAATACAGCACGTATTTCCTGTAAAAAGAGCTGAGCAGTTATTCTGGGAAAAAGTGGTGCTATTTGCAGCATGAAAAGGCATGCTATTTTTACAACTTTTTGAGCATAAAAATAGTCCAAATATTCCCTATGTAAATAGGCCATTTAATCTTGTATATATTTTCTTGCAAAAGAGATAGTTATTTTCAGCTTAAATAGTGATCGCCCGCTCATGCTATGCAGTCATACCATGAGCGGGCGATCACAGCGGGCGATCACTATTTTGTCCGAAAATAGGCACAAGAATAGATACCCTACTTTCCTTGGAAATATTTGAACTCCTCCCACACTCAAAAAAAAGTCAAATAGTACACCTTTTCGTGCTCCAAATAGCACTGCTTCTTTCCGGGAGAAGTGTTCAGCTTTTTTTGTGAAAAATATCGTATATATTTTTGGACCTCTTTTTGCACAAAAGAGGAACTAATTCGTCTCGTGAGATAGGCAGCATGTGGGAATGTCTAGCGAGGACTGTCCCGGGGAGTTATAAGCCCGTGACTTGCAACTTCGGCGTTCGCCAACCTCCAGCGGTAACCACCGGTGTTCGCCGGTGGCCATTGGTGTTCGCCGGCGGTCCTTGCCATATACGGGTGCGTCGCTGTGAGCGCTTGTGAACACCACCGTTTGTTGTCCACTGGAACCCATCGGAATACAGCAGCAACTGGTGAATATTGCTGTGTATCAGTGGCAAGTAGTGGGGTATGTTGGGATATACCAGTGTTCAGCATGTTATGCTGGCTGCCACTGGTATTTAGTCCGGTCAATTCACATGGCAAGTGGCAGACACCACCAAACACTGGTGACATCCACTGGCAGGCAGTGGCCACTATCCATCAGCATATTCTGTTTATTGTTAGTATGTCATTGAATAATAATTTTTGGCATTTTTCACTGGTCTTTGGGCAGAAGTGTGTGACATTGGGCCATGGTGTGTGACTTGCTTTCCAGGTTGGGCTAACTCTTATGAACAAATTGTTTTAAGACTAGTATCTGGCAGGTCTGGTCTCATGCTTTGTGCATAGATGGCTTATATTACACATATTATCACTCAGAAAATATACATTTACCTGAGAATCACAACAACAAGGTTCATAGCTGTTGAAATATTAATGTGACTCCTGGCAGCCTGCCCCCACTGCCTGATAGCTCATTTCTGAGCTTATAGAAAGTTTATAAAAAATCTCAGGAGCCTCTAACCAGGTCTGTGTAGTATAATATGCTTCAAAGAATTACTTACAGCTGCTTCCACTTGGGGACACATCTGGCAATCAATTTTACACACCTTTTGCACTCAGACAGTGTATCGCGTAGAGACACTTCAGTGAGAGCTGAGTTCTGGGATAGTGCACAGTTCAGAGGAGAATAGGCATCTATACAGATGCCAGTGGCTAAGCATGTATCAAGCTTATTACAGAAGAATATTTGTATTTATATTGGTACTTGATAAGCCAGTGGCTTCGAGCAATGTTTGATTCAAATCACTGGTAATGTGTGCCAGTAGCCGGTGGCAACCTACGAAGCCCAGCGGGATCCGGTGTGTCTCACTGCCACCCACTGTTACTCACTGATACCCACCAGCCAACAGCGACAGCCACTGGAGACTAGCACTGGACTTCACTGGATACCAGTGGGTGCCGGTGAGTACACCCCATATTCGGTGGAATTTGGTGTAGTTGTCAGTCCCGGGCATATTACTGGTCCCGGGAACAGCCGTGATTGATCGGACATCGGATCTTCAGCTTCGTGGCGTTCCGGTGCCTGATCCGCTGCCACACGCGTGCTGCGCAGTTCAGCTGCAAGATGTTGGGTTTGCGCTTTGCTACATCGGGTCGGAAATTGCAACTAAACCGGCGCCGAAACCCTCCAGATAAAAGTCTTCCATGTTTATCACGTGCACAGATACCGCGGGGTGTCAGCAGAACATTAACAATGCAAGTGATCTTATCCCCGTACACCTCGCATAAGATAAAATCGATGGATTTAGAATCTCTACGAGGCTTTCGTCACCGAGATATATGTCCCTATTATGTTTCTTCAAAATCACACGGAAAGACTCACTTCGACGCTCCCGCCACATCATCGCCGCAGTGTCTATAGGGCAGCTAGTGAAGACGTATGCTTCGCGAGAGGGACGAGGGGCGCAAACTCGACGTGATTAACATCTTCCGTGGGTGTAGTCTCTCACTTCTCGGAGGGAATGGCGCAGAGCCTGCTTGTGTTCGTCGATATGATAGGCGCGTGCGAACGCTGGTGTGTCATCGCGCCTCGAGAGCACGGTCACACGGACAGCTCAGGGAGAGGAAAGGCAAAAGGTGCATCGATCCCGAGGCTCGCACAGTCGTACACGGCATCGCGCGCTGCAGCCTCAGTGAGGCTATACAGGCCACAAGGGAAGAGAAAGCGTACCAGAAGAGCGCGCTCCGATGACGGTAACTTTCCGATGTACCTCGTCGCAGAGCGAAAATCCAATGTGAACAATCATACCGGCGAGATGGTCCTGACCCAATCGGAGTCAACATGGGTATTTGGGAGTTGCGAGCACAAATATGACGACAGACTCACCTAACGAATGTTGTACGCCTGAAAGGCCGGATCGCAACGACGTGATACAGAGATAGGAGACATTGTGAGCCGTCGATATTCCTGAGGGCGGCATCCCACGGCAGAGATTGATATTTGGACGTTTATTTGGAGAGTATCAGCATAAAAATAGAACCAGCTACGAACTCCGACCCGGTCAGGCCAGTGTGAACTGCGATGATGTGGTGGCTGTGTACGTACCTCTGTATAAACACAGATCAGTTAAGAGGGAGAACCGTCCGCCCGCCCGTCCGTCCCCACCACGAGGTTCAACATGCTCAGCGCATCCAGCCAATCGCTTTGTCCTCCGCCGATAATCAGCACAACAGGGTCCTCCACGAGTCATATGCCTGACGTCCACTCGCTATTGTCGGGAATGAAATTACGATGGGGTCTGACGCGTTCGGGGAAGTCCCTGAGGCCCTCCGAGTTCGTGTACATTGTCACCGCCCACCACGCCGCGTCGGCACAGCACACCAGCCGTACCTCTCCGTGTCAGAACGCAACGTTCTTTTTAAACGCGATGGAAAAAACGGCCCAGGCGAGGTCCGGGTACAGCGTCTGGTGCGTCGCCTTGATGGGCGCAATGTCGCTATACCGCGTCACAGCGAGCCGATTAGCCAGGAGCTGCAAAGTCACATAGTGGCCGCAGAAGGTGCAGATGTCCCAGGCGAGGGCGAAGAGGTCGCGCCGCCAGGGGTTGAGGGTATGTAGAACGCGCCGTGGATGAGTGCGTCTACGTCTTGAAAAGTCGCGCCTGTTTTGAGTAGATCGGTCTGGGGGTGAGCGGTAGTCACCGCGACAACGTTTTCGAGAGGTGCCATTCCGGAGCATGAAAGGTCGGTAGTGTGGGGGGAAGACGGAGAGGAGGGCGTCGGGGACGTTGGCGTATGAGTAAGAACGTGTTTTGCACAAAATAGTCTCGCGGCGGTGACAAAATCCAAGAACATGCAGCGCGGTATAGCATGCCGATGTCTTCGTACCACTCCTGTGATACCATAAGCTGCTCTGTTTCGCTGTCAGGGTGCACGGTCACCCACCTCAGGCCTCTCGGCAATGCGTTTGGCTGTTATTGCTTGGCGTACTGCGTGGTCCAAAACCACCACTTCAATGCCGTGGGTACGCTTTCACCACACAGGAAACTGATCGCCGGCGACCACGCGCGGGATGCAGCATAAGAACATGCGCCGGTGCATAACATGCACAGGCTGCAGACGAGATGAGCTACCAAGCACCGGAGAGGACACCTGCAAAGCATACCTCGGAGTTGTAAGCTACGAAATTCACGCGTCAGTCGCCACCTTATGTACACTTGCTCGGCAAAGCTCTTTTGGGCTTCCACAATGGCGATGTCGAGACCAAATGAGTCGATGGCGTCCACGGCGCGCCGGAGAGTGGGCTGCTGGGAGGCCTTAGTTAGAAGGATAGATAGGACAGGTTATGCGAGAGCGTGCTACAGGAGATGTTCTCTTGGGGCGAGGTTGTGAAGCCGAGGCCAAGCAAAGACGCGTCGTAAAGAACGCGTGTAAGTGCGTTACAAATGAAACTTGGAAGAGGTAAGAAAAGTCATGAGTGTGGGAACTTTCAGTAAAGCAACAAGCGTTAGCAGATGCTGATGTAATCAATGATATGGTAAGCTAACGCGGATAATCTCCACCAGACAACCCTACTCCTGTCACCACTTGCCGGTCACTGCAGCACCGTACCCACTACCCTCGTCGCTCGACCACAGCTACCATGACCTCAGCTTACTACAACGCGATCCAACTTAGCCAGGTTGTCACCATGAAGAAAGAGACTCCACCAAAATCTCACAAGTGAGCGTTGAGACGTTGTGCGATACGTGGAGGCACGCCGGGATGGGTTGCAGAGCTGCGCCGAGACGGGTCTTTGTGCGACAGTAGTTCTTGCGGTACGTGCTTATCTTTAGTCTCTCCCGTACATGCGCTCATGACCTCCAGTCTATGGCACACCACCTCACGCCGCACATTCCAGACGGCTGTTTCACCCAGACGGATGTTTTGTGCAAAAACGGCGATCCTTCGCTTGCAGGTCGACACACACGATGTCTTCTATGTTTTTCTCCCCCCCCCCCCCCACTCTTCTCAGCACTTTCAACTTTCGATGTCCCGGGCACGATACCACCAGGAAGCGTCGAAGCAGAAGTCGCCGCTCGCGCTTGGATCAATCTGTTCGCAGCGCGCATCACATCTCAAGACGCAAATGTCCTCATCAACGACGCGCTCAATACCGACCTATGATGGTGCCACCTCTTCTCCCTCGCATGGAACTTCCGCACCTTCCGCGGTAGCCGTGAGGTCTCGCGATTCCCGCTGACACTCGCCGTGGCGTCCTTCGGCAACATCGAGGTCCTGAAGGCGACATTCCAGACGCCATACCCAGAATTTGCCCAGATTGTGACTTCGTTCACGTCTGCAACAGGTGTCGCTCTCAGACGCAGCGATGCGCGGTTGGTGCACCGCGCTGATAAGCGTTAGCGGGTGGTGGTGGCGTATACGGACCTGGAACGTCTCCCCGAACCCATTGGACCCCGTCGCGACGTAAATTTCGACAACGGCAGGTGGCTGCCAGGCCCATCTTTCGTGGAGGTCCCAGATGTGTTGGTTATTGATGGAGGGCAGAGTTGACTGTCGGTTGCAGCGAGGCTGGACGCACTTAGCGCGACGAATCTCGTTGTAGAGGCGGATGATCAGGTGGAGGATAGCTGGGGGAGGGGACACGAGCATACGAGCCTACATGTACGTTCGTTTTCTGCTTTCTATGTTCACTACTGACTACTATCGTTAGCGCAGGATCACACGCTGTACTTTCTGTCAGTCCCAAGAATAATTGGCGAGATACCTGCGCTGTCTCGTATCCAATTACCGCACCAGCACAGTGCTCATACTACCACAGGTCGGAAGTCTGCAGTACACGCGTGCGCCGCCGCCGACACCGCTAAGAAGCTGCCGGAGTGACGATGACGACGATGACCAAGTCCAACGCCTGTCGTTCGCGTGCATATCGAGGTACTCTGATAGTAAGGACCGAACGAAAGGCCCATGATGGACGAAGGCGAGCAAATATTGGATATTTGATATCACAGTTTGTACATATAAATAACAGGCTTTATACCACCGCGCTACTAGGAACGTGCTGTGTGATTCGCAATTGGCAAAATTCTGAGAGGAATATAAATAACAGAGGCGAAATTGGAGCGAATGTTGATACGATGAATGTCTGTCCCTTTCGATGCTAGCGTCGAGTAACACAGCAGTTGGCGATCACTGATGGTCATGCATTCATGACGTAACCGTGTATCGAAACCTGCTTGAGAGACATATCTTTCATGCCTCCCTGACGAGAATAGACGAAAGCGCTCACCTAATCTGCAGCCGTAAAAGGTCCAATGGCCTTTCCGTACAGGAAAGCGGACGAGCCGACGTCGCTCTCTTCGCTGGCGCTTTCGAGGGATAGCAAAACTGGCGCAACGCCGGCACTCGTCAGTTTCTCTCGGCGTATGGTCGCCGGGCTCGCAAACCGTGCAGAGCCCGCTTCGATTCGTTCTTGCCGCTCCTCCGCTGCGCAGTGAATGTCGTCGCTATCTTCAACCTGCTCTGACTGGCTATGATTCAGAGGCTCCCCAATATTCCCAAGGAAATCGGAGGACACCCTGAAGCTTAAAGGGGTAAGCGAGGGGTGCTGCTCGCTGGTGCTAGTCCCACAGATCTCGGCGGTGTGGCTGAGCCGGGAGAGGTTGAGGATGAAACGCTGCACCAACAGCGGAGGCTGTAAGCACCGATACCCGGTCAGCGATTATTCTATTTTCCGAGCTGATGGGATTATTACCAAGAACTGGAGAAAGATGGTCGCATAGGTGCCCTCGGACTGGCAGCAATAAGATCAGAGTCTCTTCACAGAGATTAACTTGGACAATTACCCTGTACATGAATTTGGTGGAGTAGGTCAGAAGCTCCAGGACGCTCATGCCTAGAAGTGCACTAGAAGTTCACGTGTCAGACGGGATCGCTGTAAATCACGCGATCCCATAGCTTACAGAAAATAGAAGGTACCTAGACCAGTATTCTGTGAGGAACATCGTCTATAGAAGAGCAAAAGACCCTGATAGATGCATACCGTCTCTGAGTAGCACGCCAGAAATAGACGAAGTAAGGCCGAGCCGCCGCATCTCCCGCCAGTGCACAAAGGATTTGACCCATGTCAACACAAGGACGACGATGTCAGAGGCGATTGCACTGCATCTTGTAAGAATAACGACTATAGGTATGTTCGTAATGCGATAAGGATCGAGAGTGAAGCACGCAGACATACTCCTAGAGAATGCGGTCAGCGCGCACCCAAGCGGTTGCCGGAGTAAGTTGGGACATACTCTGTGTTTAGCTTCATGGGTATGTTGGCTAAAGAGGTGCATCCAACATCCTGCGAAGTCTTCGTGTACTCGACTGAGCTGCGTATCCAAATGAACTGGATTTATGTCACTAAAAGTTGCCTACGTGACTGACGGCAGGACGACTCACGAGGTTTGTTCCAACTGGGATAGTCCCTAGCACGAACACGACTGCAGGAAATACATACCACATCCTCGAGCGTCTCCAGAGTGCGAATATGCGCAGAGCAGAGAATACTGTGCAGAAAATAGGTATATTTAATGCGGTTTAACAGTGGGAACGTACTCGGTGCTCACCTGAAATTAGGAATGTAACTGTCAAGAACACAAGCATTCCCAGTATATAACCTGATTTACACCTTATATCGGATGAAGTGGTGCAGTGTATTAGAGAATATTTTTCCAGAAATTATGATGTACATCTGTAGAGCGACGGTGCCATGAGGTCAGTCGTCATCTTTAAGTGTCAGCATACTCACACCAAGTTTGCGTATAAGCAGGCACAGCCGGCATGATTGGGCCCAGGAGCATGAGCCATCGGATGCTCAATAACAGCAGTGAGGCGACCGTAAACTTCTTTCTCCACACTGCCTCTATCTCCAGGTCCAGGGTTATTACGTATTCATAGAATACGAGGCCTGAGGAGAACCATTCGTCAGAGTGCCGCCGAGGCTTGGCGATGGGACAACGTACACAGTAACGAGTAAAAGACATAGTCATATGTTAGACTGGAGACATAAAAGTTGTGCATCAGAGGCAGAGAACGTGTGCTCCGAGGGAAGAAAACTCGTACGCTTTTTGTATCTCTTGTTTCAGGACTTCATTTGGCTGTGCCATGTTATCTGCGGTGCAGGAAGGTGCTGGCTACGGTGGTCGGTGCTGGGATGCGATTTTATATACCGGCCATGTATAGTGCAGCACATGCGGCGGTGCTGCGAGGTAGTCAACTGCGAGCCCTAAAATTGCAGCATCTCTTCGCACACAAATATCTGACTATTGATTATCATCTTCGGCACTGGAGCATAAGGCGTGGCGTGACCCCCTATATCAGTGCACCCTATGGTTCTCTGGATAATCAGATGGAAGTACGGGAAGAGCGCAATATCACTCGCCCGATGTAGGTCACATGGGAACTGCTTCTCTTGGAAGCAGGTATTGAAATACTGACTCCTTGGCAGCCAGACAGACAATTTGAAGCTGAATGCTGTAGGCAGAGTATTTGCGTACAGGATATTAAAGTGGCAGTATGTATCACAACAGGATCTAGAGTGCACAATGACGCATTTCAGGCGGGAAGGAAAACCTTTGATGTGGGAATCGAAGATCTTCGCCATCACGGTCTTTGCCGCGATGCCGCGCATCCATCTGATTCTTCGCACTCTGATGTGCCCAGGGCATCGACAATGCAAATACGCTTGTTCCTGTGAATCGTACATGGGATGAAATCGCCGACGTCGATGAACCTTCGTCACCAAGATACATACCGCCGCCGCCACCACCTATATCAGATCACACGGAAAGACTCGCCCCTACGCTCGCACTACATCATCGCGACAGTATCTGTCGGGTGGCCATCTCAGTTCCGAGATGTATGCCTTGAGAGCTCCCAGGCCGCGTTGCACCGCAATTGTCGCTCGCATTATGCATTATGCTGCCATTACATCGCACAATCTCTCATAATTTGACGGATCACAAAACTGGGGTGATGCCGCTCCCCATTGGTTCTTCCCGGCATATTAGTCAATGCAGGGCGGGCCTGGATACCGCGCAAAACTCTCTCGGAGTCCGCCTCGTCGCTCTTTTGCCATGCGGTGGCCGTCGTCGCCATCTTCTTCAACTTGCTCTGATTGGCCGTGTTAAAATACTCTCAAATCTTTCCAAGGGAACTTGAGGGCACCCTGATGCTTGTAGAGAAGCAGGAAATGGGCTGCGCGTCAGCTACTTCACTAACTTGAGCGATGTGGTTTAACTGGCGAAAGCTGGGGACTCGGCGGAATATACATGCACCGGTCCAGGGAGAGCTAACCTATGCATTTTCGGTATCTGCTGCTTCAGGTCTTCAGCTGACTTGGCCATGTCGCCTGTAGTGTACTAGAATGTGCTGACTCGCTGGTGTAACATAGCTTCTTGAGATCAGTGTGACTAGTGATCACCTCTGGGATCAGATAGAATTGTGGCGAGAACGGGACATCAATCGCCTGATGCAGCTCACCATTCCGTCACCATACGTCGGTCTCATCACACCTTGTATGATCGATGCCACACACACGCATCAAAGGAGTCGCATTATCTCCAAGGTACATACGCGACCAGAGTTTCTCAAGCTGCGATGTAATCATACCGAAGCAAGCCTGACCGATCATGCCGTGTGCAGTGCCCTGGCCGGGCAAAGGTCTTAGCCCGTCTGATGTACACACAGTTACGTTCGGCATTGCCCACGACATGCAGTGACATACAGTGCGTTGCAAAATGCTAACGCGATGCGGGCGTAGCCCCGACGCAAGCCGGGAAGAGTGGTCATGAAGCACGGCAGCGCAGGGTCAAAGCTCTCGATTACGTAGGTCCTCGAGCGCGGGCTTTGTGGCGTTTGTCGGCTGCTCCCCTCCGACGACCATCTCCATAGACCCATCGCCCCCAATTTAGACGATGGCTTTTGACTAGTGTCGAAACGCTGTTACGGCAGCTTCTTCCACTCTGGTTTCTGTCTCACACTTTACTCCCTGCTCATGCGTGCCATGCAACCTTTCCACATCTCCGCGACACTTCTCGACCTCGCGCGAGTTACAAGCACCTACGCATATATCTCCTCACCATTCCAACATCGCTCAAAAGCGCTCACCAAAGCGTTATATGGCGTCTCGCCGTCTCTGCGCAAGACCGGAACACAAGTCATAACACCGCATACATCAATGGCCTCCGCAGTAGAGCAAGCTGTACCATCAACTTTGAGACTCGAGATCGACTCCAGCTTTGCACTGTACGGCGCGAAGACGTCTCGGTCCGCGGGACTCATCATATGATCGTCGCCATGAGAGCAATGATGTCAACGGAGGATACGAAGGCATACGTGGTTAACAGCCACAGCCGTGTGTTTTGATTTTCTCCTGTGAGCGCGTTCGCTACACTCATCCCGATCTCGTTGCGTAGACCCAGGGGTTTATGGGATGAATAAGCCTGCTGCTATGCACCAAGATGCTCGTGCGTGTCGTCGCGCATGCACTGCCTGCCGACAGGTGAGGTTCGCACAACAATAGCACAAGGCGACCCTGTGCGTAATGAAGAACGCATTCTGACACCGGCTCGGGAAAGTTGAGTGTGGTCTGACACAAATCTGTATGTGAGTAGGACGAGTTCTCAGCTGGGCGCAAGCGGTACTACGGGAACTCTTGGCGATGGGCGGAAAAGTGCAGTCATGAGCAAGTTGACCAGAGGACAGAGGTATGTATACTACTCACGTTCACGCACGATCTGTATCTAACTTTGCCTTGAGGCAGAGCCCATCAATACATGCACAGCCTAAACCGATGCTCTCCAGTCCGTCTGTACGACCGGGTTGTTCCCTGACTGCCCCACAGTGGCCAAGCCGTCTGTTCCCTATGAGGATAGCCGTGCTGAAGGGGCGCGCTCCAAGATCTTGTGCTCTATATCGGACGACGAATATCTCGACGCGCGGCCCCACAATTTGTTTGCCACAATCAGTGCGCTCCTTAAGCTCCCTGTTTCATCTACGACGCATCTCGGCGGACATTTGCGCAAGTGGAACCTCGATAGCCATGTGCCTCCACTGCGCCTTATTAGCGTCGTCTGGCACTTTGCCGGCATCTCTGAGACAAGAATTTCATCGGCATGCTGGCGTATCAAGCTGCTCGGCGTGGTTGTCGGGTACCACCACATCGAATTGTCTTTGCTTCTTCGTTCAAGCCCATATGTTCAGTCGCTTCTAGTGATGTGCGGGCCGGGCCTCAAAGCCTCCAAGCCCGCCAAGCCCGGCCCAAAAAGCCTGGCCCGAGTCAAGCCTGGCAGCGGGCTCAAGGCCGGGCTCGGAGCGTAGTCAAGCCCAAGCCCGGCCCGGAAGCCCAGGCTTGGGTGTGCTGGCTCCGTTACTGTTCCCTGAGTTCATAATAAGGAGAGAGCGACCTAATATGCACATAGAAGACAAAATGTAGATATTCTAGATGTAACGGCTCCCGCCGAGCACGATTGTGCGTCACCATCTGGTGCCTGCCGTAGGCGCACGCTCGTGGACTTCGCTGCGACTCGACTTGTTCCACAGGTGTAGATCTTCTGGAGGTTATAATTTAGTGAGTACATGCAGTATTAATCTACTACACCCAAATACATTCCCTTTTGATAGCACCGGAACACTCGTTGTATTGTGAGCAAGCCCGGGCTTAAGCCCAAGGCTTGGGCCGGGCTCGGGCTCGGCTCGGGCTCAGGGCTCGGCTTGACGTCGCCACAAGCCCAAGCCCGGGCTTTGAGCCCAAGCGGGGCCCGCACATCACTAGTCGCTTCCACGTGATACTTCGAGTATCGCGTTGTCAGCGGCAAGAACCGTTCGTCGAAGCTTTTAAATCCGCCTTCATCAGCTCTGTCGTTGCCCTTGCAGCCAACGTTTGGAGCAGAGGGCTGAACGACGTCACCTCGAATTGCATCGTGAGTCTCGCAAAGCTGCGCCGGAATCACTCCTAATTGATGACGCTTTTCAGACTATTGTGGTCATGGCCTACGTCGATGCAGCCTTGGCACTGCCTGTGCACCTGCTGTCGAGATGATTGTCAGTGGTTCACCTGCACGAGGACCGGTGCTCCCACCGACCTCTCCAACGGCTCCAACGACATCAGGAAAACACGAACACGAACACATTAGATGGGACATCCCGCGTACTCGACGCTTTGCTCGAGAGTGCAGGCATGACATCCAGCACGCCCTTTGTAGAAGGGTTTTCAGCGCCAACACCAAAAACTTACATTTACCTTCTTTCCGCATGTACACAGATGGTGGATGGTGGCTTGACCAGGAAGACAGGACGTAGGTAACGCCGCAAGTGACGGAGTACCCCGCGACCTGAGGGCGGCAGGAACGCGCATGTAAATAGGGGCCCGCTGTGCGCGAGCGTGCCGAGTCATCGCCTGTCGGAGCGGCGCGCCATTCCCGAAGCCTGACGCCACTACTTCGTTTTCCATCGCATTCGCAGGTTCTTCCCCAATAGAGACCCTTTCGTTAACGTTTACCTTCACTTTCCGTACACATAGACCTCCGGCCGAGAGCACCGCAGCGGAGCAGCGCTCGCATGTATATTAAAGGCGACCTCCCGCCGTCGAATGGAGCAAGCTCCCCTTTCCCCCACCTTCACCTCTAAAGTCTGCCCCTCCGAGCTTCGGGCACATCCTAAGAGCATCGAGAATACACTCGCGAGAGCGCGAGACGAGGTTCGCCCGCGACGAGCGCGGGCACGAGCATTTAAGTAAGAGTTTTATTAGATCGTTCATCGAGCTTAGTTACGCGTTTAGATATCGAGTTTAGTCATCGGCCGTTTCCTCCCCACACGTAAAGCCCCGCATATATCGAGCGCCGACCCGTACGTAGAATCCTCCTCCACACCGTGACTAACTTCTTTGTTTGCGATACCAAGTCTCATATCTCGCCGCCAGCCGTTTATGCGCTCGCCTTTCTTCCGCGCCTCTCGTACCTGCGGAGCTCCCTACTTGTGGGCGTTCTATTGTAAGTACTGTACTCATGTATCACAGAAACAAGCCAAATTAAAGTGGGGCGCGACTGACGAAAGTAGGCGTATATCTAACGCACTGCTCAGTTGTCAGCGAACAGCCGTCTCTGCGCTCACACATCGAGCTATGCATCGGATTAGGACCGACGTCAACGATTTCGACCTTAACACGCATTTTACCCCATATATATCGTGGTTGAGGAGGTCAGAAGCTGGGGGGCGCCGGTACCTAGAAGCGCACTCGGTGCTCATGTTTTAGCAAGGGGTGTTGTAAAGTCATATGATGTCACGATACAGGGAGTTGATGCCGCGCACTGAGCTTTGAAAAGACCGGACTTACTATTCTATTGAGAGGCAGGGACCATCGCAGCTCAGCCTCAGCTGCGCATTCGCTTGCACCGAGCAGCAGCATGTCCGAGGCGCCAGAGACGCCTTCGCCACCGGAAAACACGCCAGTCTTGCGGCTTGCACCACGATGTATGCAGAGAGGCATCACCAGGTTCGCGCCGCGTTATCACAGTAAGTAGTCCTGACTGGTGATCGCTCGAGATGTACGTGCCGCGGATCCGTGCCGTAAGGTATGCAATCTATTCCATTATGCCTTCAGCGCCCGAATATTTTTCTGATACCGCCTTGCCGTTGAGATGGTTGCTTGCCTGAGCGCGCATGATCTGTCCCAAAGCTTTGGCATCGACACCACTCCAGCAACGGCCTGGCTGGCAGCCCATCTAAGGACGCCGCTGTTAATGACCCCGGACACCCCGCCACATACGAGATAGGAAACGACGCGTGGGTCTTGCGTCGGCGTGAACAAGGATCGATCGAAACAGCCGTGGGAACAGCCGACTCATGACGGACCGACGACCTGTACTCGCTCGGGCTTTTGCGGATCTTCAGATCTGCAGTTTCGTGGCGTCCTGGCGGCTGATGCGCTGACAGGCTCGCGACACAATTTGCGCAGCTAGATCGACGCCGAACTCTTCCAGGCCCATATCCGCCGTCTTTTCCGCAATGACATACATCTTCGCACTTAGATGTGTACTGACACGGAGGGGGATCACCAGAGCATCAACACGTTCTTGTTCCCGTACATGAAGCCTTTGCCCACGCCACATGCTTCGGGAGCCAGAGCACGCACGTAAGAATGGCCAAAAGTCTCATAGCGGTGTCGGTTCAAATTCGCAGTACGTATTGTATACCTCGCCCATCGCGTCGTTGAGCCCCCACATCTGCGGGATGTCGCCCAGTGGGACGGTCCCAAAGAAGAGGGAGTCTCAGATGATGACGCGCGTCATCGTACCTGCCAGATACGGTATGAATTGATACTAGTAGGATTGACACCCGAGCAGAAGACACGCACCCCGCGGCGATGGCGACGGCGTCAGTCTCCGACTCAGCTCTACAACCGAGGCGTATGTCGGTGTGCGTGAAGCGTTTGATATCGACGCTGGATTGTATTATAATCTTTCCGCAGATGGGCCGGCTGATGGGCGCTGCGGTCTGTGCGGTGATGAGATGAGACACAGGAACTGGACAGATCCATGAGGCGCACCCGTTTCCGTGCAAGAGATGTCAGAACGCACTGAGATCCCCCTCGCCGTTCGAGATCCAATGTCCTACGTTGTCTGTTCCTTTAAGCATCTCTTTATGGCACAGCCCTCGCGTCCGCAATCACACACCCACAGCCAGCTCAAACCAGGTTCCTCACTGATCGCCACTGCGCATACATGAGGCTGTGCGTTTCGCGAAAGGCTTCGCGAGAGGGGCGGAAGAGCAAGCTTAGCACGGTGACAGCTTGAATCCGTAAACATGACGAACGCATACGAGCGCTGGTGCATTGTCACGTCTGCACAGCACGGCGAGATAGACAAGTCAGAGCTAGGGTAAGCATATCGAAGGGGAGAGAAACCGCACAAGAGGAAAATGCTGCGATGACGATAGCCCTCTTTCAGACGTACGGCGCCGCAGAACAAAAATATACCGAGTGCATAATTGTATCAGCGAAGTCGTCCTAACTCAGTCAGGGTCAAAGGGACATTTTTGGAATTGCAAGGAAAACTACGACGACAGACCTGCCCCGCAAATATCGTGCACTTGAAAGGCCAGCTCGCTGCCACGACGACGTGCTTTACGAATAGGAGGTACTCCAAGTCATTGTACGTCTGTAGGATGATGTTCCGTTTTCGCGTATGCCGCTGTGATGTATGAAATGTAGCAGAGGTAGAGGTCCTAATGTCGATGTTGAGAGCATCGGCATAAAGCTCGACCAGCTTGTGAGCTTTGGAGCGGTCACTGATAGGCTGTGACAACGTAGAGGGCTGTAGACGCACCTTCTGCGCAGGCATAAACAAAGACAAAGTAGAGGTTGGACCGGACTCACAGACGAACCTATGAAGGATCTGTGCCCGCAGGAATAGCTGACGGCGTAGTAGACGGCTCTACCCTGATAGACACTATCAGCACAATGACAATGGATACGGCAGCGGACAGACATATGGGCCCATGCAAGCTTAGCTTCCCGTGCCCCCTTCCCCGAACAACTGCCGGCCCACTCGTCCGAGATTCGATACGCCGAGCGTGTCCAGCCGTGCTGTGACCGCCCTCTATCTCATCGCATTTTCGAGACACGGGATATTCTTGTGCAACGTCGCGGAAGCTTCCTGGATGCAATCCTTATTCCTGTACGTAACCGGCTTCGGTGCGTCGTTCAAGGTACCGTGACGCACTAGGGCAGCGCAAACAGGTATCCCGCCCTCGACACAGCTCTTCTGGGCCTCCGCGATGGCGGTGTTGAGGTCAATGGAGTCGACGGTGCTCGTGATACACTGGGGAGGTAGGCTGGCAGGTCTCAGCTGAAAGGACGGAGTGGACGAGTTATATAATGTCGGGGGCGTGATGAAGCAAAGCAGTAATATGCCCGGGACTAGCAACTACACCAAATTCCACTGAATATGGGGTGTACTCACCGGCACCCACTGGTATCCAGTGAAGTCCAGTGCTAGTCTCCAGTGGCTGCCGCTGTTGGCTGGTGGGTATCAGTGAGTATCAGTGGGTGGCAGTGAGACACACTGGATCCCGCTGGGCTTCGCAGGTTTCCACCGGCTACCAGCACACATCACCAGCGATTTGCATCAAACATTGCTCGAAGCCACTGGCTTATTGAGTACCAATATAAATACAAATATCCTTCTGTAATAAGCTCAATACATGCTTAGCCACCGGCATCTGTATAGATGCCTATTCTCCTCTGAACTGTGCACTATCCCAGAACTCAGCTATCACTGAAGTGTCTCTATGCAGTACACTGTCTGAGTGCAAAAGGTGTGTAAAATTGATTGCTAGATGTGTCCCCAAGTGGAAGCAGCTGTAAGTAATTCTTTGAGGCATATTATACTACACAGACCTGGTTAGAGGCTCCTGAGATTTTTTATAAACTTTCTATAAGCTCAGAAATGAGCTATCAGGCAGTGGGGGCAGGCTGCTAGCAGTCACATTAATATTTCAACAGCTATGAACCTTGTTGTTGTGATTCTCAGATAACTGTATATTTTCTGAGTGAGAATATGCGTAATATAAGCCATCTATGCACAAAGAATGAGACCAAACCTGCCAGATACTAGTCTTAAAATGATTTGTTCATGAGAGTTAGCCCAACCTGGAAAGCAAGTCACACACCATGGCCCAATGTCACACACTTCTGCCCAAAGACCAGTGAAAGGTGCCAAAAATTATTATTCAATGACATATATTAACAATAAACAGCATATGCTGATGGATAGTGGCCGCTGCCTGCCAGTGGATGTCACCAGTGTATGGTGGTGTCTGCCACCTGCCATGTGAATCAACCGGACCAAATACCAGTGGCAGCCAGCATAACATGCTGAACACTGGTATATCCCAACATACCCCACTACTTGCCACTGATACACAGCAATATTCACCAGTTGCTGCTGTATTCCGATGGGTTCCAGTGGGCAACGAAAGGTGGTGTTCACAAGCGCTCACAGCGATGCACCCGTATATGGCAAAGACCGCTGGCAAACACCAATGGCCACCGGCAAACACCGGTGGTTACCGCTGGAGGTTGGCGAACGCCGAAGTTGCAAGTCACGGGCTTATAACTCAAGCAAAGACGCGTCGCGAGGAACGCGTGCAAGTGTGTTACATATGAAACACGACCCAAGTAAGAGCAGCTGTGATTGTGGGAAAATTAGGTAAGTAGTAAGTGTTAGCATGTGCTGATATAATCAATGATAAAGTAAGCTAAGGCGAATAATTCTCGCCGCGGCCCTCATGCCTACGCCCTCCCTCCCCCATCCAATGGGACATATATATTCACAGTGTTCTGGAGAATGCTCTTGCGAGATGCCTTTTCTCTTACATCACTTTGGCAGCACGCGCAGTACTCATTGCTCCCATCGCTCGGCCATAACTCCCATGACAGCAGCTTACTACAAGCATCCAACTTCATCGAGTAAGAGAAAGAGTTTCCGTCATATATTCACACCCAAACATTCTGACCTGCTGTATGTGGAAGCACGCTGGGATAGGTCGCAGAGCTGCGTTGAGATAGATCTTTGTGCGATGACTTCCTCGCTGTATGTGCCTATCTCCAGTCCCACTCGTATATACTCACATGTACGGTGGATATGTCGCATTCGTCCATGTTTCCATAACGTCAGGGACCCTCCAGTCTCTTGCAAATCATCTCATGGCACACATTCCGGGCTGTTGTTCCATCCAGACGGAATCGTCTTGCATGAAAACAATAATACCTCGCTTGCAAGTTAACACACACGATGCCTTCCATGCCTTCCTCCACTCCGTTATTCTTACGGCTTCCAACCCCCGATGCCCTGGGCACAGTGCTAGTATGAAATGCTCGCTCTTTGGTCACTTCCGCTTGCAGCACATCATGTCTCAAGACATGGATGAATGCATTCATTAACAACACGTCCTATGTCGATCTGTGGCAGTGTAACCTCTTCACCCTCATCTGAGGCATCTGCATCTTCCACGTGCTGCTATTCGATATCACGCTTGCCTCTCGACTGGCTCACATAGACGCTCTTTGGCGACATTAAGCTCCTGAAGGCGACATACCAGACGCCACACCTGGACCTCGCCTGAATCACTGTTTGATTTTGTATTCACAACAGATGTTGCTCTCGGAAGCAACGAGGCGCGGCTGGTGTGCTGCGCTAACAAGACTTGGCAGGCGGTCTAACCTAGTGAGTCTCGATAGCTACTCTGAACACGTCGAGCCCCATCCCGATTTCAATCCTGACAGAGGCAAGTGAACGCCGAGCTCATCCTTTCCGGAGAATCCGGACCATTAGAGAACAAAAGTAGGCTGTTGGCTGCAGCGAGGCTGGTCGCATCTGGCGTCTCGAATCTGGCTGTGGATGCGGATAAGCGGGTGGAGTATAGCTGGAGGAAGAGGCACGACAATTTGAGTCCACATGGGCTTGTATGTGCGCTCGTTGCCCCAATTTCTATGTTACTATCCACTCGCTATCGTGACTCGCTATTGCTAAGGCAGACCCATATACAATACTTCCCCTCAGGTCTCCGAGTCTTTCTGCAATTTTATGCGGGCTGCTAGCGAGGTTCGCGCAGGCACTTTCAAGTGGTGCCGATACTTATTAAAGATATGAGCGCTGCGTGAGTGGTGGTATGCTATTTGCGATTAATTTTGTGAGTGGTAATTCCTGCGCGCATGTCTGCGTGCTTGACGTGCCGTATGCTGGCAAGACAACAGCTTCAATGGCACTGAGGATAATCGTAGTTGTTTGCGCCGTTATCTTGTTCCTTTTTGTAACTGTGGTTACGCATGTCTCTGCGCTTTTTCTGTTTTGACAGAGAGTTGCACACGACTGGACGTTGGTAATACAGTCTCATCCGCATGCGTCTGTTGCGCTCATTATCCGCGTACCATGGCACTGTGACATAGTGAGAGAGACGCCACGAACGAGGGCAAGACGGGTATCAAGTACCTAACGTGTCAATCCCGCAAGTTATGTATATAAGTAAGAGCCTTTGTGTTATTACACTGCTAAGAGCGCCGATAGCGGAGTTGTAGAGTGTCGAAATATGGAGCTGGGACGTTCACAGCAATAAGTAATTGGCATAGTACCTCGGGGAATACAGGAAACAGAGAATAAGCCAGGGAGACGTTAGACGTGGGGACTGGAGCGCAATACGACGCGAAGCGGCTCTTTGCTTCGGTGCCAGCGCTGAGCAGCACAACAGTCGGTGGTCACTGACATCCATACATTCACAGTTCTACTGCACATTTGAACCTGCTTCAAAGTCAGCTACACCAATCTGTTTTGACGGAGCATAGAGTAGAACACCCACTTAACCTGCAGCCGTAGACCGTCTAATCACCATCGCGCGCGAAGGAGCGGATGATGACCCGACGTCGTCCTCTTTACTCGCACGTCCGGTGTGCTGCAATACCAGGACAACGTCGGCTCCTGCGGATTCCTCCCGAAGTGTAGCCGTCAGGCTCACATGCGGTGCGAGACCCTCTTCAAGCCCGTCTTGTGGCCCTTCCCCTACGCAGTGATCGTCGTTACCGTCTTCTTCAACTTGCTCTGACTGGCCGTGGTAGGAAGCCTGGCCAATACTCTCGAGGGAGCCAGAGGGTACTCTGAAGCTCACAGAGAAGCGGGAAAAGTGCTGCATGTCAGAGTTATTTCTATTGGCCTCGGTGGTGTGGTTGAGCTGGCGGAGGTCAAGGATGAAACGCTGCACCAACAGCGGTGGCTGTCAAAATCAACGCCTAGTCAGCAAGCGTTCCTGTCATCTGGGCATATGGAGTTATTACCAAGTATTGGACAAAGTAGCTTACATAGGTGCCCTATCGGCACAAGTCAGAATCTTTCTAGAGAGGAGTGGTTGGATAATTACTTCTAATACGAGATTAGTCGAGTAGGTAGAGAGCTGTAGAACATTTATGCCTAGAAGCGCGCTGTAAGGTGGTTTGTTAGACAGAGTCACTGTAAGATGTCATGATTAGATGGCTTACAGAAAATAAAGGGTACCTAAGCCATTATTTCTTGAGTCGTGTCGCATATGGGCAAGTAATGGAGAGCGAGATACATACCGTCTCTAAGCAGCACATCAGAAATAGACGAAGCAAGTTTGAGTCTCCGCATCTCCCGCCAGTGCGCAAATGACTTGATCCATGTCAACACAAGGACAACGGCATCAGAGGCGGTTACACTGCTTGTTGTAAGGTAGACCACTACATGTGTGCTCATAATGAAGTAAGGATACACAATGAAGTGCAGCAGACGTACACCTAGTAGACAACACGGTCAACGTACAGCCAAGTGGTTGCTAAAGTAGGCCTGGACTTACTCCGTGTTCAGCTTCGTCGATATGTTGCGGACAGTGAAGCATCCGACGACTTGTGCATTCTCAGTTGCAATGAATGAGCTGCGTGCCGAGATGAACTGGATGCGAGTCAGTAAAATTAACTAAAGACTGACTCGGAGAAGGGTAGATCACAATATTTGCTGCAACTGGAGCCATCCCAAGTGCAAATATAACTGCAGAGAAGAAATATTTTATCCTCGAGTCTTGCCAGAGAGCGTACACACGGAGAGCAGAGAACACTGTGCAGATAATCGATCAGTTTTAGGATCATTAGACGGCGGATGCGCTCACCCGAAACCAGAATCGTAGCCGTCAGGTACACAAACATTTCGAGGGTGTAAATCGGTATACACCTTATATCAGGCGCAGCAATGTTTCATTAGAGAACGTCTCGCTAGAAAACGTGATGTACACCTGTGGAGCAGTATCATAAGCTCAATTTTTCCTTAAGCATTAGCTTACTCACACAAGACTTGTCTATCATCGGGCAGTACAATCGACAGAAGTGGACCCAGGACCATGAGCCACCGGATAGACAGTAACAGTAATGAGATGGCCGTGAACTTCCTTCTCCATACTGCCGCAATCTCCTGGTCCAACGTTATGAGGTATTCATAGACTACAAGGCCTGAGAATGAAGGTTATTCAGCAGGTTTTAATTGAGGCTCAGAGATACAGCAACATACACAGCAGTGAATAGGACACATTGTATACTGTCAGACTGAATATGTAGCTTGTGCGTCAGAGACAGAGCATATATGCTTCGGGGAGAGAGGCCTCATACGCTTCTTGAAACTCCTGCTTCACGGTTTCACTTGACTGGGACATGTTGCCTCAGCTGTGGTGTAAGGAAGTGTGCTGGCAGACGCGGAAAGGCGAACTCACATAGAGGCTATATATAATATATTGAGTCATATGCAGTGCTGCGAGGCAGTCCGCCAGCGCAGGTCGCGTGGGAACTCCCTCTGTTGCAAACAGGTATTTCAAACTACTTGACAGACAGATAGACAAGCTGAGTGCCCTGCGATCAATACAGTCATAGATATGCATCTGTTTGGTGTATGGCAGGCCTCAGTGCAAGCACGCTGCCATTTCAGCTTCATGGATCAATGGAGGGAATTGAAGCAGCGTCTCGATTTGTTAGACCATCTAATGAAGATGCTAGAGAGATAAGAATCATTGCGGCTGTCATTTTAGGCTGCATTGCGACTCGGGTGCCCTGGGAGAGGACGAATGGCAGGCCTTCCCATGGGCGCATCTGAAAAACGTCTGGGTGTTGGAGATAACTTGGATTAAATGATACATCTTAGCTTGCCTTGGACGTTATTGGGATCTGTCCTGGAGGTGCTGATCAACATTATCAAGGCACCCAAGGCATATCGGTCCGAACCCAAGACGCGACTTCAAGGCGCTTAGTAACTTTTCCTGGCACTCACGCTAGTCGCTACCGTTGCTAGATTTGACGATGGCTCGTTCCTCTTAAGATGCTAGCTTTTTTCACCCTCAGTTCTGTCGCGCGCTTTGCTGTGCACTTATATGTCAAGTAACGAGATGTTACCAGCTGGCCTTGTGCTCGCAGTTACTCTGTGATGCTCATCCAGACGCCGCGGACCCCCTGTCGTGTCTTCTCATCAGGTAAATACGTCACGCCGCTGTATGCTCCGAAATCTTCACGTTCAGCCGGTCAAATTATATGACAGATCTAATTAGAGTTCAACGTTCAACATCTCACCAGATGTTGCAAAGGCATTCGAGTGCGCGATACTCATCGCAATCACAGGCATGGCAGTGCTGATGCAGGATGTAAAAGTATAGCTAGATCTTCCAAAGGTGCATGATCCTCTTCTCCTGTTAGGTGCTGCACTGCACTTACCGGATGTCACCGTATATAAAAGCATCGTATTCACTACCAAGATCACACCGCGTCATCACCACAGTCCTGATCGGATAGTCGTTCGAGATATACACTCCGCGGATCCACACTGTCCGGTCTGCATCCGAGCCGCCGTCGCCGTGCGGATCGGGCACGGTGTCGACGCCGGAGACGAGCTCAGCCGTGACGACGCTGCGCAGTGAGGGCGCGCAGCGTGGGGCCCGGAAATCGTGATCTGCAGGTCGACATCGGCGGCAGAGTACGCGGCGCGGATAGTTGGGTACGCGAAGGGGTCTGCGCTCTGGCACACAGCAGGTAAATTTGACTCCAGATGTTGTTGTCAAAGTCGTTGGAAGTGGGTTCGTAGGAGAGTATCTCACAGATTGCATCTGTGAAACGTCGCTCAGCTTCGACATCAATATGAACTTGAATTACACGGCTATCGCTGAGAATATTGTTCGTTTGAGCGCGCACGAACTCTTCCGATGTCTCGACGTTGACGCTGCCCTTGGTAGTGGCCTAGCCGGCAGTCCATCTAGGGATGCCGTCGCTGATGACCTCGGCTGCGTTCGTTTCGTACGAGACAGGCAACGTATGGGATGTTTTACGTGCATAAGGTTCGCTTCTGCGGTTCCGGGAACAACCGACTCACGACAGACCGAAAGACCGTGATCGATCGGGCATCAGATCCCTAGCTTTGAGGCGTTTCCGCGCCTGACGCACTGCCATCTGCCTGCCACACATGTGGGCGACAATTGGAAGAAGCAGTACGACAGCTTGACACTGCGCAACCTCATATGCGCGTTGTTACTGTCTAGTGATCACGGTTTGCCATGCTCTCCGTAAGCTCTTACATCGCTGTTTTGGACCGCATACACATTCATCCTCGCAGGTTCCGCAACTTCTGCCCTGTTTTTCGTTCCACCAAAGGGTGCGCCAAAGACTCTGCGGACCGTGTCTTAGTACCCTCATTCGTCTCACAGCTGCGAAACCGGATCAAGCTTCTACGTCGAGGCACTCGACGTCTCGATCTCGTCGGAGGCCGTCAGCGCGGTCGAGAATCAAGAGATGAATAAATTGGACGTCATCATTCGATGTGTGAATGGCTTGGGGGAGCGATGCACATGGCCCGCGTTGTGCGCGCACCGAGCTGACTTTCAAGATAACGGCATTCCGTGGACGGGTGCGTGTCGTTCTGATGCATACAATTTGCGCATTTGCTCAGTAGCTCAGCTGTGAACAGGAAGACTTCCAAGGATATCTTGTGTACTCAATGTAATTTAAGTCTGTGAGAGATTTCAGAACCAGGGACGTTGTCGTTGACGCTGGTACTTCTGGTGTGGCTATCACTCCCAGTACTCCTACACAGATCTTGAAGATCAATGTGTTTGGTGCAAGACACGACATCTTAGGCTGCGCAGGCAGCGCCATCTGTGAATAATTTTTAAGTGTCTCACATTTGATGCTCAAGCTGACATTCACGCAGGCGCGGCCATTGTCCAGCCCGAAATACATTGTAGATATCAATCCCGGGGCCCGGCATTCTCACTCTCCTAGGTCGGTTTATCAATAATCTCGATGTCCACCCTAACCTAGCGAATGTCCAGTATCAGACTGAGCAGACCTCCCGCAACGACCGCGACCTCAATACGCACTCGTTGCCCTTCGACCTCCAGTGGCCTATGGCCGAGTGCCGCGCTGCACACATCTGAGAGTTCGACAGATACGTGCCGTTCCGCGCCACTCTATGGCACATCTGAGCCATCGTAGGTGGCTACTTGACGGCCTTTCAAAAGTCAGGCATATGCTCCGCAGCGGCAGCGAGAGCGACGAAGAGGTATCCCACCTGTTTGTCACGCGTGGCGGGGGTGCTACAGCAGTGTGTGGGTTCCTTGTTGGTCTTTCCGCGCTACTTCTCAAGATGAACAGGGATGCGCTGCGGGCGACGGCGCGCGCCGGAAGATCGCCGACGGCAAGATCAGGGTCAAGTGGATCATGCCAGGCGGCGGCAGCGCGTTTACGGGGCAGAAACGAGCTGTGTGCGGGTGCCGTCATTGCCGTGGGGTAGGTGTGTGCTGTAACCATGGACATGCAAAACAAAATTCATGTGCTTCGCACGTAGCTTCGACAACGCCTGCGCACCAATCCATTGACTTGTCGACGTCGAGATCGGCACAATGACCCCGCCTGTGTGGGGTCTCAGTGACAAGGGTGGGCTGAGGGGTCCCTGGTGCAAGCTCGAAGGCCTGTCGAACATGCTGCTTGTGATGGGGCGCTGCTCCTTCCTACAGGTGGTGCAGGCAGCTTTCTCGTAGTACCACTTTTTCTCGAAGATCTTGGCGTTGCATGGAGCTCGGGGTTGACAGAATTTAAAGAGATCAGAGGGGCCGTATGGGATACGCTATGCGGCGCCAGTTTTATCATGACTGTTGCACGCATGCTGGCGTTCGACGTGCTCCATGTGAGCAAATTTGTCAAGATCAGTACCAGTAATCGTAGCTATCCACGGCGTGAGCTTGTCCTGTTTTGTAAGAGCGGTTAGACAACCTCCGGCGTTGACAGAGGTTTTGTACGTCAGCGGCTCAAGCTCATTCCGATGAACCAGTAGTGCCCATTTTCTACGTCTGCCACATGGCCATAGATACGCATCCACTTGGTCTACAGCAGGCCATGGCGCGGTTACAGCATCCTGCAATCTCAGTTCTCTGTAAAGATACAGGGAGTTGATGCACTACCGCAGTTTGTGTAATCATCTTACCTGCTGGAGTGATACAAAATTGATTGCAGCCCAGCCTTGGCAGTTTGCCTTCACCCGCTCGGAGTCCGCCTTGCCATTATAATATCACCTTTTAGAACAAATGCAGATGGAATGGATGAGATGCTCCATCCTGAAGCCTGTTGAAAATGTGGGCTGCCATTGTGGACTACACTGCCGGGAGGGGCAAATGCGCAAGCGTTCGCAGTCTATCGGCAGGTATTTATCTATACTACAAATGTCTTAGGTACAAACGTGGGTGCAATGTGAGATGAATACAAATAAACAGTGTGTGCACGAGGCATCAGTGAAACACAAGCTCAAAACGCGAGTCTAAAATTCAACAAAGCCTTCAGTGGCAATGCGTGTGAATGCTATCGTGATACAAGCCCGGTCGTGACACAGACCGAAAACTTTGGTGGTAACAATGCACGAAAGTGTGGATTCAGAGCCCCAAGGTACGTACACAAGGAAGACTAATGGGCATGGGCTTTGTGGCATCTGAGGACTGCAAACACGGGGCTAATTAGTTAATATTTTCACCTGAAAGAGGCACAAAAATCGGTATGAGAATAGAAGCTAAAAAAATTGAACACTTTCCAGTAAAAACATACGATAGGTAAAACCTGGAGTCAAACAAAGACACCTTTTTTTGGTGAATCTTGTTGTAAAAAGTTGTTCTGCTTGTAGCAAAAAGAGGTACAAATACCACTGGGCTATCCATATATAGAATAATAAATATATTTTCTATTGAGATATGTACAAAAAAAGGTATACATCTACTATCTATTTCCTTAAATAGGAGAGCTGACTTTTGTCACAAAAGAACTGCAATACAAACACATTAATTATTTTTTGGCGTCGCCGTGTGTGCCCACTGACACGTTCACTGGTCACCCACTAGTCGCCCGCTAGTCGTCCACTGATCTACCTGCCGGTTGCCTGAACAGCGCCTGCGAACGCGAGCGGGTCAGGCGATGTGAGCGGGCACGCTGTCCGGTGTGCGCAGGGGGCATGGATCTAACAGCACACTGGCCTGTCTGGGAGGGTCATTGCTGCCAGGCGACGGCCTGTCCTTGAGCGCATATGAGTACTGCTTGAAATCTTCTCGAACGACTGTTACGCAGCTTTTAAGGCGATATGTGAGCTGGTGTGCTGCGTCCTGGAGCACATACACGCACCTTGGCGTCCACCAGCATCTTATTGAGATGCTCCCAGCCGTGCGCGATGTCAGAGACATGTGCACCCATCTTCAAGATGTTGGCCGCGGTGCGCACCGAGCTGCCCAAGAGTGGTCGAAACAGAGCTGCTGCTGAGTAGGTGGTACCAGGGGCGAGTACATGACGACAACCAGGGTGGGGGAGGCTTGCCGGTGACGGTGGTGAGAGAGCTCGAGAGTATGTGCGCCCGCGCATTGCAGCAGACAGGGAGAGGGTCGCGTCTGGGGGATTTGCTCACGTTAAAAGTGCCGCTGACTCCCAAACGCCACAAGACTGCGACGCTTTGTCCGAGTTCTACAAACTCCGCTTCGGACCATCTGAAATCAGCGACTATCGGAGTGAGGTGAAGTGGGGAGTAGAGCTGTATTCCAGTGAAAGTTACGTTTATGCGAATGGAGTGTGAGCGAGAAATGTATTAAGGGTGGCAATAAAGCGGGGGACAGTGGCTAATACAGTAAGAATGACAAAGGAGTAGGGGGTGGGCAGCAAACTATCGAATGAGCCAAATTAAATATTCACGATAATGTGTTTTATGTCCTTCCGCCTATAGTAGGGCGGTACGAATGTGCATAAACATACCTGCACATGCGGGGTGTTGTCATGGTGCTCGTGGGGCCGCTTCATGTCACCGCCAGTGTGCGACGTTGAGCTGTAAAGGAATGAGCAAAGCACCTCGCACGATACCAGCGAGACTTACGTAATAATGACACGCCATTTCCCCTCTGCACGAGCAGCCTGAGCAGCCTTCGACTTCAGTACCTCGTCCAGGATACGTTGCTGTATGTCCGGTTGCGCTGAGTACCACCTACTGTGAAGGAACAGCACTTGGAAGTCACCACTACGCAAGATATTAGTACCACTACAAATGCACGCAAAGCACTTACTCCACAGCCGTCCTAGCCTCGAGCTGCATGAGCTTCTCCACCATCACCCTTCTAATCCTAATCTGCCTCTTTGCATGGTCGTGCTGAGCCTTGGACGCGTACAGCCGGCTCCACTTGCTGGAGTTGGTTGCAGATAACGGCAGAGGGCGACTGACAGGTCCTACGGTCTTGCATCGGTGTAAGGTGAGCCCGGCTCATGTCTAGTATGTGGCGGCTCACCTGAAAGGTAGGCTGCACTTGTAATGCAGCCCAGGCACCAGAAAACGCGCAAGATGCGAGTAGAGGGAGGGCGCGGAACATGGTGGGCGCAACGCTGGCTTGATGTGCGATACGAGTGGTGAGCAAACCCTAGAGAGAGAGTGGCACGAACGCGATAGATGACTGGCGCCTGTTTCCTCTCAGCGACCACAATTCTCGTGCAGTGAGCAGCCTGCTTTGCGCATCAAGGTGCCGCTACATTGGCCGCCGTACCTGTAGATGGAAACGCAAACTACCAATATACATGCACGCGGGAGAGAGGCGCCATGTTGCTACTGACAGACCACACCAACCTCGACTCGCTCGTTTCCAACAACACTTTCGCCACATATATGAAGAAGCTCAGGACCGACAACTTCCGAGGGGCGCACCCCGCCACCAGCACCATCGCCTCTATCCTTGCGCCTCTATCCTTGAGCTCTACCGCCAAACAGCTCACGGCCATTGTAGAGTCTTTTCTCTCTCACGCACACTCGATCCAATCATGGTGGCAGATGATGACGACGGAGGTGGGGATGACACTGACCCTGGGGCCAAAGATGTGAGTACGGCAGACTACTCCAAGCCCTTTTCGTAGCTAACCTAGCTTTAGGTTAGTGGCCCTGTCGATATCGTGCTCGACTACATCATCGCGGTAAATGCAGTCTTTTGAGGCTAAGTAATTTACTGAGTACCAAGCAGAATTCTAATGCAGATGTTGCTATTGCATGTGAACGTGATGTGAGCGCTCTTTTTGCTGTACGTGACGCAGTCCTTTCGTGGTTGCATTGTTATTTACTTGACATCATTGCTAGCAGGGGTTTTATGACAGCCCGGAGGATCTCTGACAATGATTGATTCTTAGCACGCCAGAGATCGTGGTTGAAGACGGCCGTACGTTTCTCTATGATCCGCGGAGTTTGATACTGACAAGGTCGCTAGTGGGGACACTTTCCCTGGAAAAACCCATCGCACAAGAGAGAAAGGCCATCCTCCACAAAATGATGCAGCAAGCGAATGCTCAAGCAGAGACGCAGACAACCAGGGCAATAATGGCAACGGTGATGGAGGTGGTCCAGCCCGATGCACCTCGCGCGTTCTACATCAAGAACCTCATCGGTGGAGGCCAGTGCTTGCTGGGCAAGGAAGCAGCGATTGGTGGCGACAAATTTGATTGCCGCACATGTTACTCTTCGATGACGACCTCGAGGGCGGCTCCATTACATCTGTCTCGTGGGCTCCTGGGGGCAAGCTCCTTGCGACAGGCTCTGACGACAGCACCGTATGAGTGTGGAACGTCAAGACCGGGCAGCTCATCCAGAAGTGGCAGACCTACAACGACAACGTCTGGTCCGTCGCCTTCTCGCACAGTGGCACCCAGATCGCATCGGCCTCCGGCGATAGAGCCATCATCCTCTGGGACCCGCATTCCCTCCACAAAGATGGCGAAGTCGGACGGCTCGAGGGGCACAAGCTCGATGCCTGGCAGGTTGCCTACAGCCTCAACAGCAGCAAGCTCACGTCTGGCTCCGTAGACAGCACTGTTAGAGTGTGGGACTCGCAGGAGAAGCGACTCCTGCTCACGCTCCAGGGACACACGGCGCAAGTCGTGTTCGTCGCATTCACAGGTGACAGCAAGCGGATTGTGTCGTGTGGCGACTCGCGTGGGATCATCTGGGATGCCGACTTTGGCGTGCGACTCGTGACGCTCGATGGGCACACCGGCGGGATCTGGAGCATGGCGATGAGCCATGCGGACAATGGGTCATCATCAGCAGCGAGGACCACAGCACACGGATCTGGGACATGAACACCGGCCAGGAGCTGATGGGGATCTACGAGCACACTGGCTCGATCTGGGCCGTGTTGTTCTCGCCAGACGACAGCGAGGTCGTGACCGACTCGTACGGCTCGACGCTGACAACGAACAACTCATCGTCTCTATCGACTGAGGCATTGTCAGCGAAGCAATGGGTTATTGAGTTTCATTGGCGGTACTTCTAGTACTTGACTGGCAATATTGTACGCAGGATTGTTGGTGTTGACATCTCAATGACGTCGCCCTTGTACATGTTCTGGGAACTCAGCCAGCGGCAGGACGTTATGCAGCGTTTGCAGGCTGCGATCGACGAGGTCATGCCCAATCTGCACGTTATTCTCAAAGCATTCTCAATATATGCGAGTACCTGAACGCCTTCGTCAAAGAGTGTAAGCTTCCGTAACTGGACTGATAAACACAATACTCACGTGGTACACAGCACTTTGCCTATACGGCACCGTGCCATTGCTGCTGGCTGCGTGATGCCTCCAGATGCGATTTGTCGCGGCGCAGGCGTGAAGCATGCACAGGACTGCAGAACGTCTTCCCGAGCGCGGAGATACTCCCACCTGAGCGCTTACTTGCGGACGTGCACGCGGAGCATGAGGGCAAGGAGGTGCGGCTTGCGAGGTGCGTTCTTGCCGTGTTTTTGTGTAGACCGGAAAGCTGATGCGAGACGGCAGAATGCACTATTACTTCATACCGTTTAGTGTCGGCACGTGGCTGTGCGACGAGCAGAAGTCCGGAGCCTCGAAGTCGGCGCGGTCAAGCATCGAGTGGGAGTTCGCAGCAGGATAAAACTCCTGTCGTGAGGGCACTCACAATGCTCTGCGGCGTATGCCCAGACCGCCTCGTCGATGTCTTCTCGCGACAGTGGCAGGCTGATCTGTCATCTTTTCATATCAACGGGCATCCTATAGACCATCAGATAGCAGTACACACCATGCCAATAGGGACACTAACCTAACTGAGGCTGTTACCGGTGGGCAATGACCCGCGTGTATCACAGCCGCAGCAGGACGTGCGCTCTATGAGTGGAGCACGATCTCGGACTCCACTCGCTTTGCTAAGCTCTGGCGAGATCTAAGATAGCAAATTGTCAGCAGGACCATCATGGTCGGGAACGCACAATGGTCTCTCGGCCAATGCTATTGACTGGCGCATTTTCGATGCAATACATATCAGAATCGCGAGAATCAGTGGTGACAGCGATGAGTCGCAAGTGAGCGTTGACAGTGCGGTAAGCAATTTGTTGTAACCAAGGTCGCGTAAGCCCCCACAGGTAGTTCCATGCGACCCCCCATATACGCTCGACTGGAAAGCCCAGCATGCCCAATCCAAATACCCAATAAACGATGATAATGTATTGTGAAAGACGGGGTGCACAAGGAAAGGTATAGGCAGTTGCTAGTCCTGATCATTACATTTCTGATAAGTGTACGATGTCGAGAGACAGAGAAGTAGACTCACTCGTAACAGTGGTAATACAACGCAAACATCTTCCGACATGGGCCATCTGGCATAGTGTCCTATAACCCAATGTAATTGAACCTCTTCTAGGTCATCGTCTAGTCTTGTAGAGTGCAGCTGGGCGTCGTAGTCAGGATAAGGGGAAAATGGGTCTGCAGTTCCCGGGAGTGCCGCGAGCTGTCGCTGTACAGCAAGCGTTACGATGCTGTCATCGTCATATATATACTTGATGCTTCCAGCCGATTGCGGCCGCGAGGCGTCACCTCCGGCCCGGTACAAGATAAGACTGTTGCTGAGGTGAGTAGAGGAATGGCTGTACATTGTATTAGTATGAGGGGTGTGCACCCGGAGTACGACTCGAGCTTTCTGAATCAGGGAGAAAAGGTCTGGTGGCGTCACGACTGGAGTTCTTCGCGAAGCGGTGACATCCTCGAAGAGAGCAGATTCCTTGAATTTATTCCTGAACGCCTTGTTAAAGACCACTTTGCATTCCTTTATGACTGGTAGAGCGTCGGCACGATTCAGCCACCGCCGAAGCTTGCTGGTGGCTATGAAGGACTTCATGAGAGAGCCTTCCATTTGACCTGCGAGGAACAAAGTTTAGGATATAACTAAGGAGTAAGCTCACTGCGGGCGTACCGAATTTATGATTGCTCGGGAGGTTTTGGAGGACACCAACTAAGCGTTCAAATGGAAAGCACCACCACGATTGGATAGGTCCATATAACAAGAGGAAATCAAATATGTGGAAGGCAACATGTTTGTTGGGGCGCGGTCGGACATGAGGGAAAAGAGTGTGAAGTTTCGAAACATACTGACGAATGTATTCCACGTATGCCATCCTCCTGCGGGGAGTCATATGGTGCATCTCAGCAACCATTACGGCAGATACGAGAGCCATCGTGTGATCGTGTGATCCAATACCTCCTGCCACCGATTGAGCGTGGATGATCGAGGGGCCTGCATGCCTTCACCCCACAAACTGACGAGCGCCACAGGGAGAATGGTTGTGAAGAAAGTACGCCACTTGTCTGCCTTTAAGCTGCCTGCCCCCTTAGTCCCAAATAAGACACCAAGATCAGCGGGCAGGGAGCACAGCCAGGAGGGTTTTACCATGTCGCAGATCACCTCCTGAATGCGAGAGATGACGTCGTCGTTGATAAGGCCAGCCGTGATATTTGGAGATGCACTAACAAGAGGTTGGTCGCAACGCCAAGCCACCAACGCTGCCGCATAGTGAGCCTTCTGCGCCCTGATAACACCAGGAACACAGCTGAGATCTCGACAGACAAATGCCAAAGGCTTGAGATTCTTCTTGAATAGGTGGTCGCGTAGTGTTTCGAAGGCTATCACTTGAGCTTGCGGATCTGAATCCGGAACTGATTGCTGCAGGAGAGTATGGATCTGCGGAACATGCTTTATATTGTGGAAACTTCAGCCGGTGGATTTGTTGATGTCGGGGATTTTGAACAGCCACGAGAAAGCGGGAGCCTCAGACTTGGTCTTGCTGGCTTTAAAAACGGACAGATCCAGGGCTATGCGACAGTGCATCTTGATGAGTCCTTCGTAGAGACAATGCATGGTGTCCACGACAAGCATCCGCGTTGGGTCCCAGTACGGCAATCTCCACAGCTCTGACCATCGGACGCCGTGGGCCTGGAAAAATTTTGTCCTCTCAGAGACTGATGCCGCATCTCTCCATTGTTCGGCCCAATGACAGAGCTGGTTGGGATCGCGATGTGGCCAAGACTCAAAATCAGTTCAATGGAGATGTTGCTTGCGATCGTTAAAATTACATATGCTGCAGAACCAGTCTGCCCCATGACCGGCAAATGCAGTCGCCTTGCGACCAGCGGGCAAATCGAAAACACCTACGACAATGCCGGATCGTGTGAGACGTCCGTGAGAGTAGCCAGCAGTCCGCGTGAGAAACACTCCATCCGTCCAGCTCTTCTCCATATTGGGGACGAGAGGGCGCATGTAGTGATTGAGCTTCTCCAGCTTCGGCTCTTCAGGCTCTGGAACGATCCCAGCAAGGTACATATTCTCCGGCTTGTAACGAATATTGGGGGGTAGGTTCAAGCAAGCCATAGCGATTATTCCCAATGATGCTTTAGCACTATGCAAGCTCTTTCCCTCCACAGAGAAGAAATCAACGAACAAAGCAAATGCGTATCGTCCCTTGCCTTCAGGGCGATCAAGGAATAGAGCGTGCTGCTCTTCATCGAAGTAAAAGTCCTGCACGAAAGATGCCTCAAAGATACTGCTCGTGTGGGGCTGCGGATCATCCTTGGTCTTCATGAACTCGTCACAAGTCTGATCCATTACTTGCTCGATGTGCTCATCAGACAAGAGTCCGGCCAGATAATCATTGAAATGCTGGTAGACAAAGGGCTTTAGAGGGTTGCGTGCTACATTATCCGAATCCTGCGACTGGAGAAGCAACGCGTCGCAGATACCTTTCCCTGGCTTGGGCACATTTGTGCATCGTTCTGGATAGATAGGATGGGGGGATAAGGGACTGAAAACGGGCTCATAGGTAAAGTGACAATCAGGACATGCCGCGTAAACCGTCGTCCGGCCCTCCAGCCTGAACTTTGCCAAGGTTTGTCTTAAATTTGAAGGCAAGTGTACCAGAAGCTGCGCACGGTAATCGTCAATTTTGCCATTACGGTCCCGAGTGGCCAGAGCAACCACCATCGACAGCAGGGTCATAATCATATCTCCGACTTTCTGACTAAGGCCCAATATCACCGTACATACAACTCCTATGAACACGGCCACCTGGGCAACGAGAAGAAGCCCATCTACCGGAGCCTCATAATACTGACCTTTATAATAAAGTTAGTCACCTAGTAATCACGTTTAACTGCCTCTTACTAGTGTTATACGGAGAAGAGTGAGCTTTGCCACCAGCCTCATCGTCCAAACGATGTTTCAAATGCGCCAACTCCATGCGTATGACCACCTCGCGCTGCCGTACTTCCTTGCCTCCACGTTGGACCTGATCTAGAGCCTCGCATATCTCTTTATAGCTGGCGTGTACTGTCTCTAGGTTCTCTTGTGGTGAGAGAGAAAGTCGAAAATTGCACGCGGATATACGACGAGCTATGTCATCAAGGATCTTCATGAGACCCTCCTGATTTTTATTGCGCTTGCGCGAAACGAAGGGAGTTGCAGGACTATCCGTTGATTCAAGAATTCTTGAAACACTGGTGCGGAGGTCAGCGAGAGATGGGGGCTGAAAGACATTGAGAGTGGCGATTTGCTGCTGGACGTCTTGGCGTGAATGCCACAGAGGATCTGGGCGAGTAGACGATTGTCCTCCGCCGTCTTCAAAAGCAAGGTGGAAGATCTGGGCTGTTTGGGCCTCCATTGAGTCGTCAGCGTTGAGTTCAGTGAGACTATCCGGGGGGTTCGCCATGGACTGAGGACACAATTTCTTCCCATGAACTGTATGAAGCAAGTACTCTCGTTCAGTCATTCGCTTGCCCGAAGATCCGTGGACAGTGGTACACTCCATGCAGGTACAGACTACGGGAGGTTTATGGTGTCTGGCCATGATATCGCAGTGATTACAAAGCGTCGCCCTGTGACTGTACGTTAGCACAGAGAGGATTGCGTTCGAATGTGAGATCTTGCACATGACAACCACAGAGCACAGGGCTTGCGACAGGTTGAATTAAACGGAGGATTCGCGAGGTGCAACCACGCAGCATGGAAGTTGCCTCTGAGCAAGCTATACGGCGCGCTACACAGTACGACCACGCAACGCGTGAGTAGTTGTCGGACAGGCCGAACAGTGCGCTTCGCAGTATGACTGCGTAACATTTGGACGGTCGTTGGATGAGCTGGATGGTGGGCTGCGCGGTAGGACCACGCAACGTCTGGAAGGTTGTCGGATGTGCTGGATGGTGGGCTGCACGGTAGAACCACGCAACGTCTGGGAGGTTGTTGGATGAGCTGTGCGGCACGACCACACAACGTCTGGACAGTTGTTAGATGAGCTGAATGGCAGGCAGTGCGGTACAATCACGCAAGCTGTCTTGAGTTGTCAGATGAATCGAAAAGGCCGTGTGTACAACCACACAATTCGCAGAGTGAGGTTAGAACATTGTCAGACGGGACAAAAGAAGCGAAAACAAGCAGCGTGGGAATAAGGCTGCTGGCGCTGACATATTAAGCGCCAGCTATTAACGGAGCGCCCGCCTTCCTGCTGCCGTTTGCCACCCAATGGACCGCCGCTGTCCTCAGCGTAAGACCATTTTACTCGCTCACACATACTGCTACATCTAAAACCATTCACTAACGAGCCGTAACATTCCCATTGACCACAGATGCAGGTGTCTACACATCTACTTAGCGATAGCCCGCTCGTTGGAAGAGGCATGAGAAACTCGGCAGCTGTTCATGGCATTTGCACTAGCCATCGAATTGAAGGGATTAACTTGACTGTAGTATTAAAAATGAGAGCCTTAATTACTGTGTAATTGAGTACGATACATTGTTTGCTGAGATACACGTACAATAAGCTACTTCAGCCGCCCCTGACGTAGAACAATTTCTGCACGTCGGCCCGCGCAGCCACCTCTTGTTTACACTGGGAAGATAAGGACTTGTACCAGCTGTCAGAGTAGAAGAGTCTTGGCAGCCCTTTCACTGGCTGACGCGACAAGAACAAATTGTGACCGCAAGTCCTGGGGAGAGGCTTCGACTTCCGATTCAGCTGCCTGTCCAGCCAATGCTCGTTGTCGACTATGCTTAGCTCTGCTGCGAAGTCCCTTCTCCATGGCATATTCTTCGTCCGATATTGCTAAACCAAATCGCCCTCCTCCAGATTGCTTTCGTCGGAGCTCATCCCGTCTGGCCCCAAGGTGGAAATCATATGGCGAAGTGACGCCCACACTGCAAGCTCGACCGACTCCTCCTGCGAATGAGCCTCAAACCTGTCATTAACCGTCTCGAGACGCCTCGCGAACTTCTGAAGGCACGTCAGATACCCCTACCGATAATGCAAGAATATTGTACTTACATCGACGCGTCTCAGCCTTTGCCAAGTCTTCTTCTCTGTCTGTTCCTGCTCTATCAAGTATTGCGCCGTTGCTTCATCACCAGTCTCGAGACTTCCATTCGCTTTGAGCTGCGCGTTGACTTGCCTCCACTTAGTGTGCAGGGTTTTGCACTTCGAGCTGATCATATAGATCCATAGATCTTCTAGAATCTTGGGTAGCTCCTTCATCCGAGCACAATCGCGTACCATCCTCTCCCAAAACAAGAAGACAACTTCGCTATTCCATGGCAATTGCATTGAACTCGTCATGTCCAGTCGAGGAGCGTCCTTCTCCGGTCCAGGCGCGTTTTCAATCTGGAGTGCGAAAGCAAGGCAGACGTTGGGATCAGTGGAAAGCACCTTTGCAAAATTTGGGTCTGTGCCTTCAAAAGCGAACACCGTTCTAGCAAACTTGTGCACAGCATCCTGTATTTCTGCTTGTAAGAATAGATTTACATCGAGTTACAGTTACTCACCGTGTATGCCTTCTTGTCCTTGAGCTTCTGGACCTTCTGTTGGCACTCTTGGAGTGACAGATATTTGAGTTTTTGCCCGGAAGGTGTATGGGTAGCCATACGAGGTACAGGATCTCCTTGCTGTTCTGACACTGGCCGTGTTAACTCGGGCTTCCCCATAGGATACTCAGCTAGCGGCGCAGCTGACATTCCTGAAGGAGGTGCAGAGGGCGCGCGCACATCTAATGATGCGGTATTCATAGGCTGGATGAAAAACCTTGTCTTCTGCGTAGTATGAGGTGCTGTAGATTTACGCAGCTGTGCTACCTGTTGTAGAACAGGCGGGTTTACCAAACGAGGGAGCGAGGTCTGTCCGCCGACCAGCGCACCAGTATAAGTGCTGTTCAACGGCGTCGTCGAGGTTGGGGTCTCCAGGGATATTGTAGGGAAGGCATGGCCCATGGAGCGATCAGGCGCAATGGCGGATGTCTTTGTGAAAGGAGCTGGAGGAGGCAACTGTTCACTAATCACCTTCCCTTTTGCCTTCTCTTTTGCCTTCTCCTTCGTTATCTGAATGATGAGTAAGTATATGCATGCATGCAAGCAGTGAAACTGCACTTGCCATCAACGCGTCCAACTTGGCGCATGTGCTGATGAGGAGTTGTTCATTTCATGCGAGCTGAGCAGCCGTCTTCACCTTCTGCATTTCATGTTCTGCGAGCATGGCCTGGAGGCTTTGATCAGACATGTCAAGACAGGTTCATGTGACAATGCACCTGCAATTTAATCTCATACTCCCTCTGAAGGTCCCTCATGGACACTTGAAACTCCCCCTTCAGCGCTGAACACTCTCCTTGGAGCTCAGCGTTCTGTGCTCGCAGACGATCAAGGTCTGTGGATAGATCGCCGACGATGCTGGCACCGTCCCTACAAAGAGAGTCGTTCTCTTGTATCGCAAAGTTCCGCTGCATTGTCATCCAGTCTAGTTCTTGCATTGCAAGGTTCTGCTCCATCGTCACCTAACCCCACTCTTGCATCGTGAGGTCCCACTGCGCCACTGTGCGACCTAGTTTTCTAGCCATTGATTCGACAAGCTGCTGAGACTGCCTAGCACTCGCCGGCCTGCTGCTGTTTCCTCTCTGCACGGCACCCACACGTGGCCGTTTAGCCGAACCTCCACCTCTGACCTTGGTCTCATTGTCTGGAGGGCGCAGCGTACCCGCAGCACAAGTACCGACCCCTGACATTGGTCCCAAAACAGCGCTCAACGCTGGAGCCGCAGTAGAAATACTGCCACCCGACACCAGAGCCATCCAGTTGTCTGGCGGTGGAAAGTGGGAGTCAAAAGTATGGGTATGGGTATGGGCAGTTAAGAAGGAGACGCCGGAAGCATGAGTGCTAGCAGACAGGAATGGGGATGGAAGAAGCTGGCTGACGACAGGAGAGGCACTAGCAACATTACTAGCGTTGAAGGAGTTCGAAACAGAGGGTGCCCTACCCGCCGTAGCTGCGCCAGCCACAGTGGGAGAGCTCGCCCCAGAGACCTCCATATCGCCAGCAATCTCGTCAGACGAGCCCTCCGAGACTGAGGGGATGTCCATCTCGACTTCAGCCGCTGTCGTTGCAAAATCTTCCAGGAAGGCCATGAGGCGACAAGCTAGGCGGGCGATGGGTGGCGGTGCGGTAGAGCGATGGGTGGCAGTACGGTAGAGCAATGGGTGGCGGTATGGTAGAGCAATGGGTGGCGGTATGGTAGGGCGATGGGTGGCGGTATGGTATTCTCGAGGACTCAGAGAACAAGTGCAAGCAGACGGTACAATGTTCTCTAGAGTACGACTCCAGAGTATCAACGAGAGGGGATGTGAAAAGCCAGCAAGAAAGATGATTGGCGTTGTGCAAGGTTGAATACAACAAGTGCGAGCGCGGTCGAGACTTGCGACTTGATACGGTTGCATATAGGGAATGTGAAAGCTAGCAAGAATTGCGTTGTGCGAGGTTAAGTACGACGAGTGCAAGTGCGGCTGAGACTTGGGACTTGAGATGGCTGCACACAGCTCGGCACTCCTTGGTAACTGGCGGTAACATCGTCGCATTTTTTTTCCATTGTTAACCGTTTTAGAGAGCTACCCGCCGTAAGTCCCCCCTCCCCCCTATGCCGTGTCATGAATTTATCACCTATGGACACAAGCTCCGCGCACCGCTCATATTTTTGATCTCTTGCGTCCTTCTACCCTCCTGGCACAAAGCAACAGAGGGTAAAGACAGAGTGGCTACATAGCAGTCTTCCTTGTCTTTCTTTCTCCTTACTGTATTCAACGCACGATGAGAGGGCAACAACAGCAGGATAACAATAAGTTAACGTGATAGCGGATTTACGGCGTCTGTTTTTGTTCCGTCTGATCGCGCCCGAGAGTGCGAGAGCGGCGACGTAGTCGCGAAGCGATGCGGCGGTGGATTCCCATCTCGTAGCCCGCTCCGCTCAACACGTGATGAGAGGACATTACTTGCCTCGTTAGTTCCGTCTGACAGCGCCCGAGGCGCAAAGGCAGCAATGTAGCCGCGAAGTGATGCAGCGGTAAATTCCCATGCTGCGTTTGCTCCGTTCAACTTGTAATGAAAGGGCGGGGTTGGCAAGGTAGCCGCGGACGGAACAGTACAGTAGCGACGTTCTTCAGCTGATGTTCAGAGGTATAGCACTAGCTCTGTTGATCACAAATGTACGATGACAAAAGTATGCAACAATGTCCAACTATCCTAAGCCTTCTTCTGACGCGCACAGTGCAATGTGTACTTGAGCTTGGCCCTGATGGCATCCTCGACAGGCCACGTGTTCTCGTATGCACCGAGATCGGGAAACTTGGCAACGAGCTGCATATACATACATTAGGTCATGAGCAGTAAAATCATTAAAGTAAACTTACATGCTCGCAAATAGTATCAAGCGCGGGCAATGATTGGAATGTGAAGCTCTTCTTGATGTTGAGGTGCTGCTCAACTTGTTGGCCCGCCTCCACCTAATTGAAGTTCAGTATTCCTACCAACTGACTAGTAGGATATTACACACCTTGAATTTCTCTAACGTTGCATCAGACCAACCATACTTCCTGAGCTTGTCCTCAAAGTTGTATTCACCCCTTCCAGGGCGCCCAGCTTCACCGGAAGGTTTAGGGATCAATGCGGGGGCACTGTCCTCCGCGTTAACCGTTGAAGCAATCGAGGTAAGAGACGACTCTGCCGAGACTTGGCTAGCAGGCGAGGCTGACGCTGCCTGTATGAAAACCTTCTTCGGAGCCGGCTTCTCGTACGGCGTTAGGCGAGCCGTCTTGAGCGTGTCGTCGCGAAGGTGAGGAGTTGTTGCCTGTACCGAGAGTTTCAAGCAATCAGTCGTCTCCGTTGGTGTAAGCACAATCATAGAGACTAAGTTGACGGAGGAGTGTTGGGGGATAACCTCGGTCTGGCTAATTAACACGGGTATGGTTGGTGGTTCGGAGGGCTCAAAGTAGACGGGAGGTGAATCTTGAGTGGGCATGTTTGTTACTCAACAACTCTGGGGAATGAAGAGAGAGTTGTGGTTAACTCAAGCTTCAAACTCCGCTACTTAACAACATCGGATTGGACTGCCCACTTTTTGCATCAAAAAATTGAGTATTAGCCAAATATCCATACCGGGCCTGAGAAAAGTTGGCGTTCCAATACAGATGAATAACTTCCCGCAAGCTCCGTGACTCAAATAATACGAAGAGCCCGTGAAGTGATGTTCCAACTTTTAATTTCCGGCCTTCGGCATAATCACCAAACTTCATAAATTGGGCGTAGCCGGCTACTCAGCTGGGCAAAGCAAGCATTATGCGCTGTACACATCTCAGTGGGGGCGATGTAAGGATCTACACTGTAGTAGCGTCTTGATGTACAGCAATTTTCCTACACATACACTTGCCATTATCTGTCTTGTCTCAGAAGATAGAGGAAGGAGGACGCAGCTGATGAGGGCACAAAGTGCGGAGAGCCAGCATCAGAGTGTCGACAACATCAGCAGTTGGGAAGGTAAATCTCGTGTTGCTACAGGAGAGGTAAACAACCCTGAATCGGCGAAGGAACCGTTCCCGAGATGTCAATCTGGTCTCCACAGAGCCTGGTTTCAAAGCCTGTTCCTGCCTTGGCAAAGCAAGGAAGCAGAATTTCATTACATGCCAAACATGCCGAAGGTTATTAGGCATCTCACCCAACAGCCACCGAGGACGTCCAGCGAGTCGGCTGCATCCTTGGTCTAGCGTCCCGCTTGTTCGATAGATAGCCGTCAGGTAGCCGCGAGGAGATTCACCGTGAACCAGCTCCCCAGAGGTACCCCACCCACACATCGTAAGTTGCAAATACAGATGAGCAAACGGGTATATATACCAGGCGGGCGATGTCAAAAACTGAACCATCCAGCAGCTTTGCACCCGTAGAACACTCGCACATCTATATAGCTTCCTTGAGCATCTTCATACTCTCAACACCACTACAACCATGCCTTTCCCCCTTGTCGCCACGCTCTCTGCGCTTTTTACTCGTTCACGCAGGACGATGGGGCGCTATACCTTGGCCTGGCATCTTCTGGGTCACACTGGTCCCATCCACACTGTATCCATATCAGCGGATGGCCGTTGGCTAGCCAGTGGAGGTAAGTGCATCTGATCTGCCCATTCCGAAGGTTGCTGACGTTCCCCGTGAAGGTAGTGACGGCCTACATATGTGGGATATGCTTAGGAACACAGAAATCTTGGCCCTTGATCCTAACTTCACTCACAACCCGGTGAGCTGCACCACCTGGACAGCTATCAACGGCAACGTCTTCCTCGTCTTCAGGACCGGGCTTGGCCATCTCGGGATCTGTGGGAGAAGCACCCAGCAGGTATGGCGTCATTGATCCCATTTTGAAACCTCTTAATGACATCCACTAGGAAACTTTTGAACTTCTTGAGCACCGGCGCATCGGTAATGGCAAAGAGATAGTCGCTGTAGCCTTCGGCCCTACCGACCACTACGCGGCGAAGTTTGTTACCGGTACACGCAACAAACTGATCCATGTTTGGAGTCTCCAACACAACAGACAGCTTATAAGCCTGTTCACCGTCGAGTTGCCCAGGACAGTTCCGATCGGATTGTCCTTCGTGGACAACGCGTCGCACGACATCCGCGTGGTGGGAATATGGGACGGGAAATGGTAGGTTTATCACCATCTCGACGCGTTGTCCCAATCCTCACTGAAGCATCAGCCTTACTCTATCGGGCACAAATGGGGTGATCCTCCTCGGCCAACAAATATCGCATAGAAAGATGTAAGTGCAAGTGGTTAGACAGTCGGCCGGTGCATTAATAATCTACAGAGGGTCGACAGCCGTACACTCAGGGAAGAACACCTTGGTGATTGACAACGTCATCAATGGCTTCAGTCTGTATAGACTGGACACCCTACTGCCCGTTCGGACTTTCCCAACAGGCGAGCCGTTGACTCGCAAGCCGAAACAATCCACATTCGGCGAAGAAGGCAAGGTTATCGTGGGTGGGAGCGATCACGGATGCGTGTACATCTTCGACCGCAAGACCGGGGCACCGCTCGACGTTTTAAGGCATTCATACCAACTGGTGCAAGCAGTAGCTGTGAGTGCGCGGAAACAAGATTGGTCAAAAATAACTCACATGTATACGATTATGCATAACAGACACACATCTCCAACGTCGGTACCAACGTGATTGTTACAGCTTCCAACGACGAGTATGGTGACCACGCTGTTAGCATATGGATTCACAAGCCGGACGCGCAGGGCACATGGCTCAACGGCGTGCACAGGGTGATCCGGGAGAGTGCTCTTCTACTTTGGAAGCTTTTCTGTCAAATGCTCCTCGGCATAGCCTTGTACATCGTCTGGCAGAATGTGAGCTCAAGTCACAGATTTTGCAGCACTAGTACTTACCTCTTACATTCCAGCTTCTGAGGTCGGCAGCGTGGGAAGACCCGAATGCCTTCAGGAACATCGCACACAGATCCCTTCTCTCCACTGTGCTCGACCAACTCCACCGGATAGCCTCTTTCTATTCGGTTATGAGAACGGCGCCGCAGTCCACAGAACAGGTCAGAGCTTGGCACATGGCAGGCCAGGCACAAAGGAGATTGGCAACCAACGACATAGCGAAGAATAACGCTGATATCCCAATGATTGACAGTCCTGAGACAGCGCCAGAGGGTCACGGAGAGCTGGATGAGCTGGATTAGGTACAGGCGGGGTAGGATAGCAAACGGTATGGGCGATGAGGGTATAGTATATCGGGATAACCCTTAAAGCGCGGTTGGCAGTAATTAGCATGACGAGTCCTACGATATCCTCTAAAGCGTAATTCTACAGTGCATCAGGAGAACCAAACTACCGGAGAAGTACAATTCTCAAGGTAGTGATACAGTAGAGCATTATTGGTGACGATAATAATCTAGAAGTGCCCAGAGAGCACGACTCTCTGGGGATGAGCAAAGAAACACCGCCCATGCTAATGCGGCCATGAAAGCGTAGCTTTCCTGGCAGAAGTAATGGAACGTCGACCGGGTGGACGATGGTTTTAAGATATGCAAGGAGTTGAAATAGCCAGCAGGAATAATGGGGTGTCGACAGCACTGGTGGCAGCTTTAAGCTGCTCGAAGGCTACGACTCTTCGATGGAGTACCGACGCTAGCAGTGGCCACGAGAAACCCAAAGAGCGAGCATAATGGAACGTCGACAACATTGGCAGTGGCATTATCGGTGGCAGTACTGAATTACCCGTAGAGTACGACTCTGCGGATAAGAGGGTCGCGATGGCGGAGGGCGGTGAGAAGACAGCAAGAAGCATCACGGTGGGCGGGAGTGGGCGCATCAATGGCATCAGCATCGTCGGTGGTAGTACTGAACTGCTCGTAGAGTACAACTCTTCGAGCAGGAGCGTGGCAGGGTATCCGTAGAGTACAACTCTGTGGACAAGAGGGCGGCGGTAGCGGAGGGTAGTGGGAAAACAATAAGCGTCGAGGCGGACGGAAGTGGGCGCATCATCGGCGGTAGTACTGGACTGCCCGTAGAGTACAACTCTTCGAGCAGGAGCATGGCAGGGTATTCGTAGAGTACGACTCTGCGGACAAGAGGGCGGCGGTGGCGGAGGGTAGTGGGAAAACAATAAGAAGCGTCGAGGTGGGCAGGAGTGGGCGCATTATCGGCGGTAGTACTGGATTGCCCATAGAGTACGACTCTTCGAGCAGGAGCATGGCAAGGTATCCATAGAGTACAACTCTGCAAACAAGAGGGCGGTGGCGGAGGGTAGTGGGAAATCAACAAGAAGCGTCGAGGAGTGGGTGCATTAGCGCCATCAGCATCTCGGATGTTTCCGACAACTACAGTAAGCGCTTGCACTTCCCCAATGAGCTGTTCCCTCTCTCTTTGTCCTCTCCTCCTTTCAACGTAAAGATCAGCGGTGTTGGTTGTACCAGCAACGTTAAATCTTTGCAACTCCCCTCCAACTCATCCTGATTTCTCTCTACCAGCATTATCACAAGAACGTGGCGCTGTTGGTCGTACCAGCGGCGTTCAGGTTTCTTGTCGTTGTCCCTAGCGTACTCCAGCTGAGAAAAAGCGACTCTGTCCACCACAAATCCACTGGTCAAAGACCGTCGTACAGTCTCTGCTGGCTCACGCGAGTGACACGCCGGTTTACTGTTTGACATCGCGACAACAAACTCCGTAAATCCGTAGCTCTCCTCTCACTACGATGAATTTTCAAAACGACGGCATGGTCTTTTCTGAGGATGTGGCTATGGCCGACAAGAGTGCTGCTTCGTGCGTGGAGGCCATCAGCGACGCTACAGAGGAAGATGTTTCCCAGGTACGGAAGCCACCCCTTCACTCAAAAACCAGACTAACAGACCAATAGTCCGAACGGTGGGATAATCAAGCTGTTATAGCAAGCGTGACACTATCGGAGGTTAGCATTTGTCTACTGAAAAGAAGCCCCGTTGACATTATTTTACCAGATGCCTGCACTCAGGCATGCGCTCCCTGATCCATCGGAAACGCTAGCAGAGAACGTGTCTGTAAGTAATAGCATTCTAGCATGTGTATTCCAGTGCTTACAGTATCACCAAAGAGCACAACAATGCCCCCGCAACGCTGGCGGGTGTTCGTTGTTGACTCTAATGACGGTATGCCCGTACAGCCTTGGGTGTCGTCCAACGGGTCTTCACTACCGCCAACAATACCCCTTGGTGACGCGGATTTCCCTCGCAAAGAGCTCTTCAGGGCTTCCAAGCCCCGCTGTATTACGGACGCATACTTTTGGCTGGCATTTGTTCTCCAAGATGTCAATTTTAAAGGTCGACTATTTGAAACGCTCTGGAGTCCCTTGCACATCGCCTCGACCGAGTACACCACGAAGAATAAATTGCCTGCTATACACTTTCATCTACCAGACGCCGTCCGTGCCAAATGGTCTTGGCTTGAGTCAATGCTTGCTCAGCTACGCGACCTGCTCGTCAAGATGATCGAGATATTCCCTCTGACAATTGAGTTCCCCCCACGTCCTTTGGACTTCCGGTATGAACAGAAATTTTCAACTCGTTGAACTGCCTACAGCATGCTGGACAAGGCCAGATGGGCTTTTGTTTTGCAGATGGCGTTCATCTTCTGCCTTGGCAGCATGCACCCCTCCCTAGTTAACCCGGACAACGTCACCCGTTCAGTTTGGACACATGTACCAGATGAAACCCAGTTAGCCCTCCAGTCCTCCTGGATGTTCGACAAGATATCGCTCATCCCTCGCGTTGGAGCTTTCATAGACACTTCGGAAACCTGGCAGTGGCTAGAAAAGTTTAACGCTTTCTCTGCTGTTCGAGGTCTTCCACTTTGGCTGCATTACTCCATGCGCCCTGAAGATCGGCCTGCCCACCCCGCATTCGAACGGCACGCTCCCAGTGAGGAGCAGATTGCGAGGGCTTTGGAGAATCCGGACACATGTTGCTGCATGCCCTTGCCCAAGCAAACGTTCCAAATGGTATACGAGGCCGAGAAGGCACGCGTTCTTGACCCTTCCGCTTCAAAACCGTACGCTGGCTTAGGTCAAAAACAAGGCCAGAGCCCCGAGGCGTATTTTCAGGAACGAGACGCCTTGTTGCATAAGGCTATGGAGAAGGAAAGGCCTTTAAAGAAGGACAGAAGGGAAGAATTCACACGACGTGCTCTCGAAACAAACGACCTGCCTACTCACGGGTCGGTGTAGATCTGGGAAGACCAGTACATGTGGTCGTTGAGAAGGGTCGTAGGCAAAAAGAAAATCAAAGAGGCGTGGAGTCAATATCATCCGACTCAGCGGTGGTACGACCAACTCAGCAGACAGTGGGACCTTTGGGAAGGCTTTAATCCTAATGTTCAGGGTGGCAACGAGAATGACGACAACGACTATGACTACGACACTGGCAAGTGGGCTTACAAGTTTGATGACTCATCTCTGATATCTGAATCTCTGGCTACAGGCAATCTCGGGCATTCGATTCCAGAGGAAGCAAGTTCGGCACTGGACAGGTCACGAGGAGATCGAGCTTTGGCACTTGACTGCGGGCCATCTCTAACACATGGGCGAGACCAGAATCACAGATACTCTTCCTGGCAACGACCTCATAGATTCCGCAGGCGAAGTCGGTCTCCCAGTCACCCACGAGCACATCGGAACCGCGAACGAAGTCGGTCTCCCTATTATCGGCAAGTAGGTTTGAATCGAGAACGTGGCCGATCTCCTCATCACTGGCAGCCTACTTGTGAGAATCGAGACCGAAGCCAGACACCCCAGCGCAGGCGTTCTTCTTACGAGGCATACAGCCGTACTCGCATCACTCGTCATCCAGGTTCTCCCCGCAGAGCATATCAGCGAGATCGCACTCCTCGCTGCTATTCTTCACTTGATCGTTTACAGTCCCCTCGCGTGAGATACATGATCCGGTCGCTTCGATGTTCGCAATCCCCCGGAGCTTCAGAGCAGGGTTCCTTTACTCGCCCTCAGAGGCACGATCAACAAATAGGAAGCCCTGACGCTCGTAATGAACGCTCTTCTTCCTTCAGCCCCCCTCGTCATGATGTGGCTACCGCCATGCGCCATGATTTTGACCCTCAGGAGTTCGTGAATGCATCCAGACTCTGTCTCGAGGACCTAGTCATCATTGATGAGCCTGTCCGCGTAGAGCCCATCCTCACGATCCTTCGATATCGATGCGGGTTTAAGGTGGATGCGTTTTATGTGTTGACAGCAGAGACAAGCAAGATGCGGATTGATGGCTCTGCGCAGTGGTTGCATCGTGTGATAGGCTTCAATCCTGGAACCGATGATGTTCCTGCTGTCTCACAGAGCACTGTCGACGATTTCATGGGCTTTTTGGCTCGTTCATTTCCACCCCCATCACAGCTGTGCGATCTCATGGTCGACGGCCGCGGCAACTTCCTACAGGCGGTGAATTCACCTATGGCCGTCAGCAAGGCTACCTTACAAATCCTACACGACACGAGCCAGCAAGACGTCTACATCATCAAGCCCCGGGCTCTCGACACTGCTGGCAATTGGCCCTGGCAGCTTATCGTGGAGAGCGCTGCAACAGCTGCTGAGATCTTGCAGCGTCCATGGGGCACAGAGAAGACCAGCGTTGTCCGTGAGCTCGCGAAGCGGGGTATCCCTTTCAGAATGGCACTTGCAGTTTCCGAATGGAATCTGTCCCTGCCCCGCATGGAGAAGTCTGGTCTCCACTGTGGCCTTGGTATTCGGCAACCGGGCTTCAAAACGTCCAAGGAAGAGTACGCTACGTACGAGGACGCTTGTGATGACTTCCTCTTGTGCAGCCCGCATGCTATACAGGCTGCGTTGGGTGCAGGTGGAATTGTTTGGCGACTGGCTGTTCAAAGACTCCAGCCAACCCTCGTCGCGGGGCCCCAAAGCCGGTCGGGCCACCAAGCAATGGTGTTGCTGAACGGGCACTCTTGCGCAACTGATGTGCTTACTCAGCACGAATAGGACTTGATCTGCAGTGTGTACAGGGTCCTTGCGTGTGGGTATTCCTATAACTATTGTTTGTTGCATGCCGCTAATTCACCATAGTACATTCTACGGCGAGTGCCACCGATTACTGTTGGTGGCCGAAGCAGTCAACCTGGCTCACCTCCGGCTTTAATATGGGCTACTGGACGTCGTTCAATGAGTATTGGTTCCAGAAGCGGCTTTGCGACATTCGATTTGGCGAGGCAACCCCACGCAGCGCTAAGCAGTGGAAGGACGCGCTTAAGCTCCACAAAAGTCTTGCGTTGAACGTTGTTCAGAAGCTGGAGTCCCTGTCAGCAGATTGTTTGTAATGGTATGGGTATACTATGCTTGTTCTCTGTCTCACACTATCTTTTTCTCTCTCCCATGTACTATTAGTTGTTCTTGAAGTAAATAATCTCCTTCGAGTGGGCGTGCGTTGTAAGCGGCAATTTCCTGGTAAGTGGCCATCAATACTCGGGCGATGAGTGAGCGCACAGCAGATGACGAGAGGGCGATGAATGGGCAATGTGTGAGCGGTTTCCTAGTAAGTGACCGTCGATGCGCGAGGCGATGAGCGGGCGTACGGCAGACGACGAGAGGGTGATAACAGGCGATGAGTGGGCGATCAATTGTTATGTCTAAAAACATGTCGGCTTTTTTCCATACGGGTTTTCCCAACAATAGTTCAGCTTTTTTACCTCATATTTTGCAAAGATGGGAACCGCAAAGTAAGCTTACTCTTTTTGTCTCAGCTGGAGGGCTTCTTTTTAGGGAAAATATGCAGGAAGAAATGATGATTATTGTGCCCTGAGAATATTTCAACCCTCTTGATGTCCCAAAAGGTGTAAAAGTAGCATATCTTTTTGTACTGTTAAAATGACAACTTCTCCATGAGAAAATAGCTTAAGCATATTTACGAAGCAGAGTGAATACACTTTTGTACCTCTTTCTGCGCAAAATAATATAAAGTTAGCCCCGTGAAATGCGTGGACATTCGTACGGAGTAGCACACACTCAGACTTCTCTCAAAGACATGCACACATGCACTACCTCATACCAGCATCGAGCTTCTCCAAAATTGAATGCATAATGTCACACACAGATGGTGCACACTGGTCCAGAGTGGCATCACCAACACGTCGGTGAGCCGCTCAGTACTGTAGCCGACCTTGTCTCACGATCATCAGTGAGTCTATTGTGTGCTTAAAAACGCATTAGCTCTTCCAGAATATCAACATCGGTACCAACCTCAGCAACAGCCTGGATGGCAGCTTTTGCGGTGATGCTGCACCTGGCAGAGGCGTGCACAGGAGCCTGCACACTGCACGTACCCCAGCGATCGCTACCTGCAAGTTGAAGTGAGCAGCGAGGCATGTGGCAGTGATGGTCAGGCACGCGAAGGGGTTCACGCTCTGGCAGGCTGTCGGTGGGTACATTGCAACAGATCTGGAGACGCATCTCCAAAGTTTTAAACTGTTAATTACTGCTAATCATGCTAATTAGAAAACCTAGTAGTCAATTAGTAGGCCTAGCACTAATTTCCTTGGCCCTACCCCTAATATTATAATAATTGCATATTAAACACCAGTCCAATGAGTTGCTAATTTGCTAATGCACTAATGCACTATTTCACTAATTTGCTAATGCACTAATTCATTAATAACTCACTGATTCACTAATTCATCAATAATCCACTAATCCACTGATTCACTAATTCACTAATGCACTAATTTACTAATCTACTGATTCATTGTTCTACTAATTCACTAATTTACTAATCTGCTGATTCATTGTTCTACTTATTCACTAATTTACTAATGCACCAATTAACTAATCTACTGATTCATTGCTCTGCTAATGTACTAATGCACTAATCTACTAATAGCCTAAGTAATCTCTATCTTGCTTATTATATAATATTGAGCTATGCTTTCAATTACTGATTACAAACCAGAAAATAAAGCAAGTATAATGTGGATTAGCAGACAGGTAAGTTACAAATTATCAGCATACATATTGTAGAGATCAAAGAGGCATTGAAAATAAGAAGAAGAATGAGCAAAAATGTTTTTACAGCACCTCCATACCATCAATGTCCAAATACTGAATGTCATCATCTTCATCTTCATCATATACATACATCTCACCATTCCTAGAGGTTTCATTAGTAATTTTGGTGCTAGTAATAAAAGGATAAACATACCTTGCAGCATCATAAACCTGTTTCAAGATAAGTGCCAATACTCCTGATTTCCTTGCCTCAATATTAGTGATAATCTTCCAAAGAGCACCATGTATCCTGCTATAGTTCTTCTGGGAAAACTCAAGAGGTTTCCGCCGAGGCCGACAAATATTCTCAAGTGCGGAATAAACCTAAAAACAAGTTAGGATCCAGTATTCAGGCATAAAAATCACATACTGCAGTGGCAGCCATGGCAAGAAGCTGCACAGGCATCATGCGCACAGGTTTGCCTTTGTACATATCCTCAAAGAACAGTGGGCCAGCTGCAATGAGGAAATTGCAACGAGTCTGGAACATGACTGTACTCAAGACATCAGCAATGGTAGGATGAAGAAACGGTTTATTTGCATCGATGCGGCGCTATTCCACATATAAGCATAAGCACAAAGTAAGAGGCAAGCAACTCACTGAAATATCCCCAGGATATATAAACCGTTTGCCCTGCATTAGATCCTTGACACAAGCAGCACACGCATCCTTGTCAAGGTTCTTAAGCCTGAAGTGTGCATTAACCTTTGCAGCTGCAGCTTCTTTGAAATAGCTCCACAGCTGGCTCATGTGAGTGTCCATCTACAGGCATCAGCTGCACGTAGCAGTAGTTCAAACAGAAACTTACCAACGAAAGGACCGGACAGACCCAGTCATGATCAGACTTGATCTTCGCCACAAACTCAGGCTCGTCTGCATCATTGGCACCAAGCTCTAGCATTTTCTGCAAAAAGCATAGCTTAACATGGTGCGCGGTGTCGGAATAAGGGTTGATCAGATATAAAGACCTCTCCATGTTCTTGAACACTGTCTGGACAACGTAGTTGAACCTTGGATGTAGCTGGCTCAGCGCAAGCTTACCATATGCGCAATAAACATGTCTAAAGACAGCACAGTTTTCTGGTCATACAGTTAATGCTGCATAATGAGGGACATGGCAGTGAGGCAGCATATCTATCTCAGCGTTGTCATCATTCTTTTCATTCACATTGGCATCAGGGTTCACATCCATGTCAACATCACCTTCAGCACCAGAGTCGGCATCAAGATCAGTGTTGACATGCACAACAGGCTCCTGTGTGGCAAGGTTAACATAATTATGCACCAACAGTAAGAGCGCTTACCTTGCCCTTGAGCTTCTATATGCGTCTTGACATCACAGCCTTCATAGCCTTCTTCTCAGACTTTGTGGGAGGCAGTGCAGATGACGTGTACCATAGGTCACTGCCCATAAAAGGCGATGACAGCTGTCTCTGTTAAAGAGATAGAACCGACTGGTTGTTGCACTTGCCATCATGCTTGTTGTTGTACTCGTCACCACTCTCCTCGTCAGAGAGCATGGTCATCCGGAAAAGCTCACAATGTTAATTACTACTAAATAGTACTAATTAACACTAATTAATATAGTAACATTAATTAACTGACCCCCCCTATCATGCTTACATTTCTAATAGTAAATTAACACTAATGTAGTAATTCATTTATGAACTGTTATGTGGTGTTAATGAGCTGTTATTTTTTGTTAATTGACTGTTATTCACTGTTAATTGACTGTTAATTGGCTGTTATTTCAGTATTGTTAGCTTTAAAATCAATGTACTGAACTCAAATTTAATTCTATACACATTTCTTATGCTATACAACATATTGATAGCTCTATACAAGCATAATATTCAGAAAAAAAAAAATGGCCCCAATGGGAATTAAACCCCAGTCTCATTACTTTCAAGATATCTGTTGGAACATGCACACTTTAACCACTGAGCCATAAAGCTCACATAAACTTTACACTTCAATGTTTCTATATACACTCAGCTAACAACTTACAGATAATTTCTAAGTGCAACCTAGAAGTTTAACATATATTCACACTTCTAGATCTAAATATAACTGTTGCCCTTGTATATAATGCTAAATGTACAATAATTGATACAACTGTCATTTGCTAATATGACAACCTTGAATACATACAGTGGCTTTTTGCAATAGATTATCAACCATTTGGCTACTGAATCTGCTGGTTAAAATAACATGTTGTTAGTATGCATATAGTAATAAATAAAGTGCAGAATAAATATGACATTCTATAACACAAATGCAGTTGTATATAACTTATTATCTGGTACTTAGCAAAAAGAAACTATTCGCTGTTCTCGCAATAGAACATGGATGCTAGTGTATGTATATAAAATATGTTGGTGATGTTAAAAGCTATATATATTACCTTTTGCTCTAAAACTAGCATTTTATTCTACTACATGTGTTTGTAAAATGGATTACTGCAATCTTTGACCATTAGCAGTTTGAAATATGTGATATAAACTTAAAATCTTCTTTTAAATGATCTATTTGTATTTAAAAATGTTAGATATATTGAAACGCTTAATTGGCGATTAAATAACATTTTAATACATTTTTAAAACAGCTTCATTATTAAATATAGTGTAATAAAATGTTACAAATTATACTTACTTTTATGGCTTACTTTAAATACTAATAACATCTAGCTAATGTTACCAGTAATCACATTTTTGAACTGCAAATACAATAATTAAATTCAAAGCTAAGATGTATAACTATAAGAGTAAATAATAAACATCAGCACAAGTTAAAACTAAACTTATTAACAGTAGTCAAAGTATAGAAAAAAGTATAAAAAAACTATTTAAAGCTGTAAATGGCTTTATACATACAATGACTATTTAAAATCATGCATAGCACTACAAAGAAAGATCAAAGTTTTGCTACATTTTTATTTTTTTATTTACAATTACTATGGCAAACTAAATAGTATGTATATAACTTTTACACTAGAATATCAGTAGCATCTTTTTAAGGTATTATTTTGATACAAATACTGAGTGTGCAAAAAATGTAGCAAAAATGGCTAGAAAATAGACATATATTATAAGAAATATAAAATACAATAGTTCACAAGATCAAATACAACTGTGCCTTAGCAAAATTTTATACTATGTGATACTGCTATAATATATTAAAGATATGACACATTATTGAAATAGTTTAGCTATGGAAATATTTATATTTGTTAAATAATAAAAACATCTATATACACTTATCTCTAAAAAGCACTGATAATAGCTGAAGCATGTATAATATGGAATTAAATGTATCTTTCAATAGAGAATATTTTGCACATTCAACATAAAAGCTTTAAACTAATATTTACAGAGCAAATTAATACTAATAGTATACTAATAACAAATATTAAACTAATAAGTGTAAGTAATATGTAGCTAACATATATAATTTGTAAAGGACTTATAGTTAATATTGAAAGAACAGATGAATATTAGATTATATTAATAACAAACAATGATTTATTGACCATATATAATGTGTAGCTAACATGAATAGCATACAAAGAACTTGCAGCTTAACATATTGAGAACAGATTAACATTTACAGTATAACATTAACAGATAGTGAATTGCTCAGCAGAATAAGTATATAGCTAACAAGAAAAGTATACAATGAGTGTATAACTAGCATTCTAAGAACAGATTAGCAAATATAATGTAACAATAACAAATAGTGAACTGTTTAACAGATTGAACATATCTTTAACAGAAATAACATACAGAGAACTTATGTTTAGTATTGAGAGAACAGATTAGCAAATATAATGTAATTATAACAAACAGTGAACTGCTTAGAAGATATAATGTACCTTTAACACAAATAGTACATAAAGAACTTGTGATTAACATTTAGAGAACAGATTAGCAAATATAATGTAACTTTAACAAATGGTTAACTGCTTAGCAGATATAGTGTACAGCTAACAAAAAATAAAATAACAAGAACTTCAGATTAGTATTCAAAGAATGAAATAACAGTTTTAACATTTCTATAACAAACAGTGAACTAATTAACATATTTAACAAACTAAGAGTTTTGCACTAATGAAGAGAGAACAAATTAGCTGATATAAGATGCAATTACTATATCCAACATATAGAGAGTGTTGGCTGAACTCATTTAACTAATTAGCTGTCATCTAATAAAGCAAAAATGAAATCATATCTTATGAATGTTGAAAGAACACCCATTACTGCTAATTACTGTTGAATTAACAGACTGGGTTTTTCCAGATGGTAAGCTTGACCTCCTATTATATGCCGCACATCAGTAACGCGTAACACATAGATATGAAAACTTACCTCAGCAGCTAGACGCTGCCTAAGCTTATTCCAACTGCCTTCTGCAGTGACCAAGTCATTGTCTTCATTGTCAACCTTCATGGCAAGTGCCTCATCATTCTCATCACCAGTTTCCTCCTGCCCTGTTTTGTACTGCGAGCCAGACATCTCGTCTGATACATCACTGGGCACGTTTTTGGTCACCTTGCATGGTGCATCTTTCTTTGCGAAGGGGGACTTTAGCTATAGAAATGTTGTCGTCATCGTCACTACTGTATGCTGCAGCTAAAGGGTATGATTATCAGGAGAAAGAGGATAATCAGATATTACATACCAATGTTAGCGAGCGACTATTTCATTAACAGCTTACGAACAGCTTGCTGTCTGGCATGCGCCATACTGCTGTGGCTCTGGCCCTGGGTGGCCACATTGTATGGAGCTGGTTGTCTCACATGTGTGGCATCATTGGTGCTGTCATTGTTGACAGTCAGTTGTGCAGTGTCATTGTCATTGCTGCCGTTAGTGGTCAGTTGCACTGTACCATGTTTCTTGCCTTGGAGCACTGTGTAAATGTTTGTCTTCTGGGCTGTCGTGCCACACTGCACACAAGCTTTCTTTTGGGTTGCCACACTGTCCTCATTGTTGTTGTCAACAGCTGGCCGCACATTGCCGCATTTTGCACTTTTGGCTGCCGCAATGTGCGCGGCACTGTCATTGTTGTTGCCACCCTTGGTAGTCAGCTGCACAGCGTCGCGTGCCCTGCTCTCAGCTACTGTACTGCGTGAGGCAATGGACCAGGTTTGATTAATCATGTGGTAGTGATGCAGGCAGGAGGTCAGAACTCTTATTGCACTCATGATAGCTTGGACACTGTTCCCAGCCTTTAGTAATGAATGTAGCTAGGTACAAATGGTTGTGCGGATGCCCTAGCACTAGTAAATAATATATGCAGCTTTGTGGAGCCTTATCACACTGGGAAAGAGCTAACCTACACTCAACAACATGGGTATGCAAACAGTACTTAAAAACACCACATATGCGGATGTACAGAAGCCTACAGGCAGAGATAAGCTAAATGCAGCTACATACATAGTATTCAGACATATTCTGACCCTTCCAGGTGGTGATTTTCTTCCCACCTATGCTGTAGGAGCCAGGCACACACCTGTGCACAGATGGTGGTTTTGAACTGGTCAGAACTTCATTAAGGTGTCACTCCGGGGTTAACTGATGCACTGCTCCACCAATACATGTTCCCTGGACCTAGAAAGTTGTATACCCCCGTTTTGATAGGCTGATAATCGATTGGAAATGGTCCGCTCGTTCGATTCTAAGTGGCTGAGCCAGTAGGAGGTGTTTTCGACGAGATCAGCATATAGGCGCCCATAGAAAACACTAAGATCTGCTTAATCGGACGGCTTCCAAGGCATGAAATCAAAAATAAACCATAGCCGTCCTATCCTGGGCTAAAAGAGACACCTTCCAGCATATGAAAACATCTGATATGTGTCATTTTATTTGCCAAGCCTCGCAGGCTCTACAGGGAGTTTGTGGATGCCTCAGGCTCCCCACACCCTTGAGAAGGATTCTAGTGTTGGATTTTGGGCTCGTGCGCTCGCACGCACATGTCTCGGGATGACTCAGATTTCTATTGGACAGTATTTTATTGGATAGCGCATTCATTATTTCGTTCCTGACTCATCAGTTGCTAAGGCACCTGCCGCTTTCCTTATTTACTCACTTTTCTCTGTTGTGCACGCTCAGAGACTTCCCTTCTTCTGAGCATGCATATATCCTCTCATTACGGACACTGTAGGATACTGACTGTATTGCAGTACGGACTGAGCATCCGTTCTGCTAGGTAAATACATCACAGAGAGACTTCCCTTCTTCTGAGCTACGAACTGAGCATCCGTTCTGCTAGCCTCAAGCGCGCCCGACAGTTGAAGCCGGGCCCTGCGTGTGAGAAACTCACTGCGAAGAGTTTCTAGATCTAGTGCCATCTATCATGAGTGTATAACATTAGAAGAGCTGTAGGAGCTTTGCAAAGGGTTTTCTGCTACTTTCAGGCCCAAAAAAATCGATTTTTAATAGAAACAAAAGTATAGTACATTATACAGCAGCTATATTCACTCTAAACTGCACATAACTACTCTACATAGGTACAGGTACATATGCCAGAAGGTTTGGAGTTTATTGGACAAAGGAGAGGGGAGGAATTGAGCCAAGAATGGCCCCCAAAAGTGAAATTGATGTAGGGAGCCAGATAGCTGGGTAGCAGCTTGGTGGCACTTGATGGAGCTGATGGGGCTTAAGTCCGCGCTACATCCGCAAAAACTCGACTCTCGGCGAGTATTTTGTGAATAGCAGGCTCAATATTGGTTTCTGACATATGTTTAGTATAGCAAATATGTTCAAACATATGTTCTCCACCTTTCCATGTCATAAAACAAAAACAAGTGCCCAAAGCGGTATGTTATGGCATGTCTCTCAAATGTGGTCTATATTTCAATTCCAGTTGATGGAAACAGCATATATAGCATGCCAAGAGGTGCTAGAGAGGCTTTACAGGCTCTACGCGGTTGCTGGCTCAGTTACTAGTAAGTAATACATCGCACACCGTAGTAGTTACTGCCACATGATTAATCAAACATGCACCAAAGGGTGACTGCGTGTTGCTGCCGTCACATGAGCTCCTCTCTTCTGGATTGTTGCATCATGTGCGGCGCCTCAGATGGCCCCCAGATGCATTCTGCCCAGTCAGTTGACACTGGCAAGAAATATTGTGGCGCTGCCATGCATTGGCCAGGACAACAAGTGCACCTTGGACATTGCTGCCTCCTGCATGTGGCCACCCCTCTGGTTGTATTCCAGCACAAGAGCTGGCTGCCATGCTGTGACTGCTCTATGGTGGACTCTGGTGTTCTGGGCGACTGATCCATTGAAAGGAGCTGGCAAGGTGGTGCGCTGCTCCTGGCCCTCCTAGCACGGTCTTGCTAATCGCCACTTACACAGGACTCTGCTGAGGTATATGTAGGAGTAGAAAGCTCAGGGGAAATGAATGTGGTAGTGTGTGTTGGAGCACACAGAAGCAGAGAGAGCTGGCGAAAAGAGGGAAGACGTGCCTAAGTATGGCCTAACCATATTCTGTAATCAGACAGGAACCAGTTAAAAGCTTTGACTTGGTTGGTGGCTTTCCCTTTTGAGATTTTGGTGATGCAATGCCCCACCCACACCATAATTTTATAAACTGTCATGTATTTATGCGATTTTTTCTGCACGAAGCTTGATCGATGCACTCACAAAGAAGTTTGCCGGCCAATAGGCGCCAGTGTCCACTCAGACAAAATTGGGCAAGTTGCGCAAATGCAAAGAATCATAGAATAAAACATAGAATATATACCGCACTGAGAGAGCTGCTACAATCGCATATAACTGAAGTAGCCACTATCTTGTCATATGTAGCATGACAGCATTATTGCGCAGCTGTACAGTGATTTCACCTTTGCACACAGCGTACAAATGATCCCAGATGTACGCTGTTGCTAGTGAGCGCTCAAGCTCGCTCATCAGCTAGCATGTTTGAGGTCCGCCTGGATATGATCGCACGTAAGCACCAGTTTCTAGCCACCGCGATGAGCTCCCAAGGGTTGCCCTGTGAAATGCAAGCCTTCAAGTCTTTGGACCGCAGCTGTACACCATTCAAAATGATACATGCACTTCTGTCTCTCCTGTCTATGCCGTTTGCGCACAATGGCCTGTCCGATCACTGGCAGGCACCGGTGACGATACATTTTTTGTTCTGCAGCTGCGCTTGCGAGGCCGAGAAATTCAGGTCGCGCAGAAATCGGCGCACCAGGTGCACAGGTCCAGACGCACAGCGCGAGCAGGTCATTCAGAGGTGTTGTCGTAAAGAAAAGGTTAGGATAAGAAAAGTAAGTAAAATAAAACAATAAGGTTTGGTATAAAGAAGATTCTAGGAGAAATCCTAGAAGGTTACTTTTTAATAAAAGAGAATGGAGTTTGGTCTGTTCTAAACTAAAAGCAATAAGGGTATAGTATGGAATACTTAGATTTGGTTTTCCCAATCTTTTCTTTCCAGGGTTCACTGGGTTAGCCTTTCAACCAAGCTATCCTGGTGTTCGTGGGGAACTAATTCAAAGACCACCTACTAATCTGCTTAAGTACTCTAAAGCCTCACTTGCCTGTTACAAGGGACTTTTTTAAGGAATCTTAGAAGATGGGCTGTAAACAGGTTTGGTTAGTAGCTTAAGGACCAGCTACTTGGGTTAGTAGAATAGGGTTTTTAGATAAGTAAGATAAGAGAGTAACAAAGACAAGTTAATGTCTTGGTTAACTTAGTAAGCTTTGGCTAGTAAGGACAATTTAATGTTTTTAGAGGATTTGTATAACTTGAAGCAGTCTGAAGCTTCCAATTTAGAGTTGAAGATCAAGAATGGATTTAATCTCTTTACTGCTAGTCTAATTACTGTAAGCTCTACAGGAGACGTACCACAGTCTCAAATAATGACGCCACTAGCTCTTGCAGTCTAGGGTTAGTCAAATAGTGAACTCGTGCACTATACCAAGAGCATTTCCCTTCAGGTTATTTGAAAGTCAGAGGCTCTACTGTGCTTAAGAAATTTCCTAGGCTTTAAAGAAAGGAGTCTATTCTCTGAGAGCTAAAAAGCTCAGGGGATTAACTGCAGGTTTGCTGCTAGCTAAATCCTTGAGAGTGTGTGTGGTGCTTGGTGGGTTGGTGTGATTGTGTCCTGTCTGCTCTCAGAGAACCTCTCCTATTTATACCTTTCAGCCTGTTGTTCCTTAGCCAATAGCAAAACTGGCTCTTCTATTCTACTGTAATTACTAAGCTACTTCTACTTTTATTAAGAAGCATTTGTCTGTATTAGTCAGCTTTCTGTCTGTTTTACTAATGTATTGGTAAGCTATTACTAATGTTTGTTAGAGTATTACTATATTTTGGTAATTCATAGCTGTTGAGCATAGACCTTTACTAAGCATAGTTTCTAGATTACTAAGAAGCTGAGTCATATTATTAGTCATTGATTCACTTTTAGTAAGCTTGAGTGTTTATGCTTACTTTGCAGCTCTGAGTAAGCAGTTTCTTTTTATTTGAATACCTATTATTCCTTAGTTTTCCTATACTTATAGTTATGGTGCATGACAGCGTGTACGGCTCAATGCGAACAGGGAGACGCTGTGGAGAGGCTGTGTGTAGCGCAGTTGGTGGCGTAAAAGCCAAGGAGTTGGTTGACCACGAAGGTAGCCATCTCTAGCCGGAGCACTCTCCAGCACCTGCAGGAGCAGCGGCCAAATGGAAGGATTTTATGACGCTGCTGAGAACTTTAGTGGCACATCAGTGGCTGTGCAATGCATGTATGCACAAATAGCACTCACAAGGTGCAAGCAGATGCTTCAGTTTGACGCCTCGTAGAGGTGGTGGATGGTGCATGAGTTGGCGGTGGTTTGAGGAGAGGGAAGAGTGAGGAGTAACTCAGGTTCTGGTTCCGAGCAGCTGTTTTCAAAGACTCCCACTGTATGGAAGATGTTGCATCAACTGTGCCTGCCAGAAGTGAATAGCCCATCGTTGTGAGCCCTCTACAGTGCATGGTAGACAGAATCGCTGATGCTGCATATACAGGCAATGCGTTCTGCAAGTTCATGGGTGAGGTGCTGTTTCAAGCTGGGTTTCACCAGCTGAAATGGGCGCAACGGTGACGACAGCAATGAGAGCACCTGCACTCAAGCAGCGATGGCACGGGGCCACACAGGCAGAGAGCTGTTAGCCATATCAGTGTTGCGTTCATCAGATTAAGATGAGCATGTCTACTTCTTTGATAAAACATTTGGGTACTTGCTCTGATTGAACTTGAAAGCACGCAAGCCTGAGAGCAACATCGACAGAGTGTCGATATCAATAATCCTGGTAGAGAGTTGCATCAGCACTGGCTCCAAGACAATATTGCTCGCGGTAGCACTTACAGGTAACTCATGGTCTCGCTTAAAGCACCTTGAATGACGGCGTCGAAGTCTGAAGTATTTTTTGCCTGCACAAGAAGACACGTGGTCTCCAATCTGCACGCGACCTGCGAGATGCGCAAGGATTGACCCCAGCATAAGCAGCTGCAAGGCATACCTGTACAACAAAACATATTAGTACCATACCTGAAACATTGAATCAATACCTTATTGAAGTAAACTCTTTTTGCCCTCCATGGCCAGTTGTTCGAGCACACTAGAACCGAGCTTGAGTCCTTCAATGTTTGCGAGGACCTGCATGATCTTTGCAATATTGGCATTGGTGTACGAGTCTGTCTTAAAAATTAGGCAACAGTACTGTAACAACTAGCTGAGAGTGAGAGACACATCAGCTCACAAATGAACATGTGCATCTCCCACACAGGAACCACTTTGGGTCTGGCATAAAGTTCTCCACCTCATGATACAAACTGGTACCATTCTGCAACATTTAGCCAGCCTGTCAGCCTCTGCACCTCACATCAGCATAAACCGCAATGCACCTTTCACACATCTCATTGAAGCTGAACTTGAAGTAGCCTCAATGGCAGAGTGGAAACTGAAGCCCCATGTCAGCTCATAGACGAGTGTGCCATACTGCTCAATGACCTCCTGCAGGCTCGGACTGGAGAAGAAGCAGAGGTTGAGTGTGCCACCAATAAGGTGATACTCGACAAGAGATATGTTAGATGACAGTGGCGTCAGAAGAAGGATCTCAGAGTCGGCGGAGCTGTGGACGCAATGAATTTGTGTTCAGACAAGAAGAGGATGGCTATGCATTGGAAGAGGAAGACGCCATGCATCTGTGAGCGCTTGGTCGTGGCGTTGTGGTGATGCTTGAGGTAAATGAAATGTGGAGCATAGCTACTGAGACGAATCAGCCACAAACGCCATTGGAACAAGGGAAAAAAAACTAACTAACATGTTCTGGTCAATAGGATCAGCAATATTTATGTGCCTACACTATCTGGATCATCCCAATGCCGCTGTTGGTGCCGATGTCCCTGCAAAAGCCGCTGCCCACGACGACCTCTCCCAGGCCATAGATGTTCGTTCTGAGAGGAAACGCAGACGTGGGTTGCAAGTATTGGTCCTCAAACACGAGTGAGAAACCGTCGAGGGCAGTGGGATTGTCTGTTGAGATCATAGGTGGGATATGCGTGGAGAGGATCCGAGAAGGGACAAGGTTTGGGTGTCTTCAACTATGAACCTTCTCCGTTTGCATTCTGTATTACCAGCTGCTTTGAACCTGATGCGCCAGCTTCTGTTCAAAGACAAAATCAGAGCTGTTCATGAGAATGGAAGTTGGCTTCCCTGGAAGGTCAATTAGCAAAGATGGAATAGTGAATTGGGGATCTGTGGTGTCAAAGATGTTTATGTAGAGCTATTACAGGTAAGCTCAAGCTGTTGAATGAATTTATAAAAGAATGCTCTTACTTTGTATCAGAATTGCAGGTAACTTCAAGGGTCAGACTTGCAATATCTTGCCTGAACACGTTGTAAGCAGGGCCAGCCAGATTGAGTTGAGCGGCCAGCCCACTGTCTGTCTCTTGCTGCACTCTCGGAGCATAGCCTGCAAAATGTCGAATTCTGTTGCCATTTCAAACACTGTGCAACTCACCGGGGCAACTGGACACATTGCGCGAAAGCGTGGGCACTTGGAGTGCATCATGCTGGAGCTTGGCCCTGCACAAGTGTGGACAGCAGAAGCCCGGCAAAGACTGCAAACAACACAGTCAGTGTGAGCTTGTGGCTGCAGAGCAAAAAGACAAGACTAAAAGCAAAACAAACTGGCCAAATTTTATAAAGCACTGACCTGGCCATCAAAATTTGATGCCCTATCATCAAGCAATGTCAGTGTCAAATGGGTTATGCATATGTTCTGCTGCCACGGGTGCAAATGTCTAACATGGATGCGCTGGACCTGACGTTGAAGGACACTATGGCCCATCTCACCTCAGCCAGCCGTGTGCAGATCAACAGGGATACCATGCGGGGCTACTATATCTGTTGTACCGCGCATAATTGAGTTGCCTCTGTTGGTGGCAAAGACAACAGTGGATGCCATAGACTACTTGGGAAGGGCATTTAAATAGGTGAAACATTCAATGTTGAGCATGTGAACCTGTGAAGCAACTGCAACTGAGCATTTCACTGCGTGGAAACTGGGAGGGGTGACGTATCTCATCGATAAATATGACACCAGGCACAACCTTCGCAACACTCTGGTCAACATATCCCCTCACAACCTTGTTGACTTTCTTCCTCAGCTTCTCCGTGACCTCCATCCGACCGCTCTTCATCAAACTGCCCATTACACTCATGTCCTGACCTCCCTGAGGCCGCGCATTCACCGCATCCAAGTCGCCAAGCGTTACGTCCTGCACGAGCTCTTTTTGCTTGTGTACCTCGCCCTTGAGTAGGGGGACGTACGTTTCAGACTCAAAATTGTACGAGGATGTGTAAGTGTCTGAGCGTCCGACAAGTTTTACAGCACTAGTGTTCACCTTGATGTAGATGACGTCTCCAGCGACAATTTTCTTCTTCAGAATTGCTTCGTAGATGAATGGGTTGAGGCGCAGCTGCTTCGTGCCTTTGACTGTCTTCAGGCTGACAATGACATGCAAGACAGTCTTGCCATAGCCACTAAGAGGGTTCTCAGCCTCCGTTGGTGTGAGCTCGGTGACTTTGTCTTCATACACTTCTTTGGTCTCCTTGATGCATAGCCCTATCACCTGCCAAAAGGCTTCTGCAAGCACCTCAGTCTTCTTGACCTCTGTACTGTAGACTTCTGAGCCGACCATGAGGTAGAGGGGCACCTTTGCCCAGAATTCTGGAGAGATTGCCAGGGCAAGCACGGTCTTTCCCGTGCCAGGTGCACTGACAAGCAGCAAAGCGCGACCAGAGAACTTGCAACATTTAACAAGGTCGACAACCACGCTGCAAGCCTAGGAGATTTACGTCAGTCTCTGGCAATATGTCAGTCCCTTCACCATTACAGGATAGGACTACGCTGCATACCTCTCGTGCGTTAACCTGCCACACAAACTCTGCCCCATCTACGTTTGCGAACCCCTCAGGATGGAGGCCAAGGCTCTTGATATGAGAATGAGGTGCTATCCACAATGACTGCCCCACTGGTGTGCTTGACGGCAGAGGAAGAGCGTTGTGCGCGATGGGCGTGGAAAACGTCAATGGGGTAGCTGACATTGTTGTTGCTGTTGGAGTTGAAGTTCAGGAGAATTGAAGCCTAAATTGCAAGAATATTCAAGTAAGCGCCTACTGTTTAAGATAAAGCTTATTGAATAAGCAGTAGTAAGGGCATAAGTGAAAGTATTGTCAACTTGTGGGTTTACAAGGTAAGTGACTCACCTAGTCCTCGAAGATGTGGCAACGCGAGCAATTCACGAAGACTGCCTACACTCTCATGTACCTCCTGAATTATGGCACTGCAAAGCTGAATGTCAAAGTGCTGCATGCATGACCAATTTTCCATGCGCTGCAGCAAAGGCAACAAGCAAGACAGCCAAGACAGACTTCTCCAAACGACAATGGCCATTGGTGGGACAGCTGAAGACGTAGGGCAAGTGTGCGATGGGCGCTGTCTTCACTTCTTGTACATCTCAGGAAGATTGGCTGCACCTAAGTCTCCTATCTCACTTCTCTCCACATAAGAAGGGCCATGACAGGCGCAAGAAGCATAAAATACAATGATGAAGATCTCATGCAATGTTGTATGCAACGTAAACATGTCACTGCGTCAAGGAGCACATCACAAAGCGGTATGCTGCAAGTATCATCTGCAGTTGGAGCCAGCATACTGCAGAGAGGTGTACAAGAAAGCAGTGCGTTTTTTCAACCTTTGAGACTACTTCATGCCTCTTATGGACATCAGGAAAGGTCCAAACGCAGGCGCAGAGGCACCAACTGCCTCAAGCAAAGGTACACCCCTCATTTGTGACTGCTTGCTGACTTCTTTTCTTCTAAATCTTCACTATTACTCTGATGCTGCAGTTCATAGTGTTGCTGAGATCATCTGCCAGCTACAACAATTGCAACACGCCACTGAACCTGAACAGCACGGTGATTGTGACACACCGTTGCTGGCTCTTCTGCCTCTGTCTCAAGCTCAAACACAGGCATTGTCAGCTCCAAGCCCAGCATGAACTCTACTCAGTGTGCCAATGCCCAGGCGTCCTGCTTGCACTGGTCGAGCAATATGCCGGTGCTGCATCATTACCATCACAGCAAGCACTCACGCATAGCGCAAATGTCACTGTTACGAGCTCCAAGTGCAAACAACGTGAGTTGTCCTGTTGTTTCGAGCCCGAGCATATGCTCACAGCACTCCTGCAGTGTCTCAGACGGACAGATTGCCTCTCTCAGTCTGCACATACGCACGCTGTGACTTGCTACTTGAACGTTGGCATCAGAGAGAAATACATGCAGGCAATGATCAAGTACGGGGACAACGAAGACAATGAGCAGCCTGCAGCGAGCCGTCAAATGCTGCCTCTAGCGGCGCTGGGCCTATGTCTGCTGCGGCAGATGACCTGCTGGCAGTAGGGCCTGCAAAGAAGAGGCAGAGGTGTGGGAAGCCACATAGAGCTGCAAACATGGGTAAGGGCGAGGCAGACAAATCGGAGAACTTTGTGGATGTTGAGGTGGAGGCAGCTGCAAAGAATGGCGCAGATCCTGATGTCAAGCAGCTGCAGTGCCAGTGTGCGAGGCACAGATAATGCATTCACATGCCGTGCACAGGGCCATGTGGCGCAGGACACTGTTGACCGCCGTGGGTGGCAGTGGCATGGTGTGCTACAGATGTGGCTCAATGCGGCGCAGCCTGGCATAGTGCTCTGCTGCCTTTCGCGGCGTAATTCATGTACGCAGGCTCTGTAAATATTGTACTCTTATTGCTCTATTTCTCGTTCTCGTTCAATTGATCTTGGCATGCCCATGGATGCAACATCAAGCCATGATTGCTGTGACGCACTGTCAAAGGTGTGCAGCTGCCAGTACCATGACAGTTGCGAGCTGCAATGTACATGCCCAAGTATCTGCACAGCGTGCGCTTACCTGTTTTGTTGCTCCACCATCTGTTTTATCTTGCTCTTGCCTCAGTATTGGCTTGGCTTGGCTTCCAGACTACAGCAGCAGGTTTTACTATTGCAATGGCACCTGGATACACTTGCACAACATGTGGCTCCCTCTTCTCTGAGAGGGGCCTACTCTTTCATCTGTGTCAGACAACAAATCCTTTATGCCGACAGAGATACATAGCACTCCTCAGCTCTCAAGCTGACCCTTCCTTGGACCGTTCTGAGGATCCTTCTGAAGCTCTTAACCTGGACCCTTTAGAAGCTGACATGGACTCTTCTAGTGCGGGCCCAGATTCTATGGATATCGACTTGGATGAGTTGGAGGATGAAGCTGAACTGCCTCTGTCAGACCTCAATGTGGAGGATACCAACATTGTCTTTATAATAGATGATGATGATGATGATGTTGAAGGAGACAGTGCGCTGGATGAGGAAGAGGAAGAGGAGCTGGATGTGGATGAAAATGAGGTATATTTCTGGTGTGTAGCTTTCTTTCTCTTCTATGTGAGTGCTCATAATATACACACACCTTTATGAATGCAGAGGATGGTTGGCAAGCTGTGGAGCGTGAAAATATAGAGCCTCCCTCACCTGCACCAGATGCTGAAGCTCAGGCTGAAGCCAGTTTGCCTGACCCTGCAAAGGTTGGAAGGCGCACGATGGAGGCAAATCTGCATCTGAAAATTATTGTCAAGCAGTATGGTGGTGCTGCTGGCCAAACTATTGAACCTCCAAAAGATAAGAAGCATGAACTTGGATATTTGATCTACAGAGCACCACCAAAGTCAGGAGACAAGGACAAGGACAATGTCTATTGGCTGTTCAAGTCTCGCACAGACTGGCTTGTTGCACGATGGGTGAAAATGCGAGGTCCTGAATCTACAGCCATGTCTGTGTTGCTTAAAATTCCTGATGTAAGTAATTATACTACTGGGCTTTATTCTGTTCTTATACATAAAAAGTTCAACAAAAGCTTGGGCTGTCATTCAAGGACAGTCAGGAGCTTAATCACATTATCAATACAAAGCTTCATACTCACCACCCATGTTTTAAATGTGCTTGAGTTGAAATGGCAGGCGAGTCATACAAGCTATATTTCCGTGACATTCTACAGTGTATTCGTGCACTTTATAGTGATCTGGAATTTGCTCGCTATCTTGTCTTTGCTCCTGAGTGGCATTTTTCTTCGGCATCTCTAAAAGACCAGCTCTATCATGACATGTATATTGGCAGATGGTGGTGGGCTGCACAGGTGAAAACAAAGAGCAAATTCACAAATAATCAAATGAGCTCATGCTATTTGCAGGATGAGCTCAAGAAAAAGCAAGAAGGCGCCATCGTTATTCCTGTGATTATCTCCTCTGACAAGACCCAGATCACAACATTTGAAAACAAATCAGCATACTCTGTCTATCTTACTATTGGCAACCCTCCCAAAGAGATCTGGCGCAAGCCCTCTTATCAAGGGCAAATTCTTCTTGCCTATCTTCCAACCACTCGCCTTGATCATATCACCAACGAAGCTGCACGCTGGCGTATTGTGCTCAATGTCTTGCATAAATGCCTTTGCACTATTGTTCAGCCTTTGAAAACTGTTGGTGTTACAAGAATGCCCATTGCTAGTGGTGACAGTGTTTAGTGTCATGGTCATCCAATTTATGTGGCACATATTGGCAATTATATGGAGCAAATTGCCATTGTTGGCTGCAAAATGGGCAAATGTCTTCAGTGCAATGTTCCTCCAACCGAGCTTGGTCTTCTGGAACACTATTCTCTTCAAGATCTTGAGTCTGTGCTTGTTGCGCTGGCCAAGTACGAGACAGATCCTGCTGGCTTCTCAAAAGCCTGTCGTGAAGTGGGTATCAAATCTGTTATTTATCCTTTCTGGGAAGATCTATCCTACTGCAACATCTATCTATCCATTGTTCCTGATATTCTTCACCAACTCCTCCAAGGTCTCATCAAGCAAGCTTTCAGCACTGAAGAGCCGGATGCTTGTTGTCGAAAGCTTCCTCAAAATAGCCATGTTTGCCATTTTCTTCGAGGCATTTCTCCACTATCCAAAGTTACTGGCACGGAACACATCGATGTTGTTCGTATTTTGCTGGGTCTTATCATTGATATGCGCTTGCCTGGTGGAATGTCAGCTGTGCAGTTAGTCAAGGCTACACGCGGCATCCTTGACTTTCTCTTTCTTTCTTAATATCCAATCCATTCAGATGAAAGTCTACAGTGCCTACAAAATGCACTCAAGCAGTTCCATGACAACAAAGACATTTTTGTTGATTTGGGCATTTGAAAGGATTTCAATCTGTCTAAGCTCCACTTTCTCATGCATTATGCACCTAGCATCAAGTACAAAGGCACTGCAGACAACTTTGACACTGCATATGCACAGCGCCTTCATATCGATCTAATAAAAGATGCATATCGGGCTATCAATCACCGCGACAAACTTTCTTAAATGACATGCTGGATTGAATGCCGAGGAAAAGTTCTTCACTTCGATGCCTATATTACATGGCGCTTGAAAGGCTGTTCTTCTGTTGCCACCTTCACATCAAATCCACACCCTACCTCTTACATCGAGATGACTAAGCATCTATCTCACTACAACATTAAATTTGATGCTCTTCAAACAGAGTATGAAGCACACTTCATACAGAACACTATTGCTTGCTATATTGCCAGACATAATAATCCTGATGCCACAGCTGCACAAATTGAAGCTAAAGCATGGCATATCGATTTACTCACAGATGGACTATTAGTTTATCATCAAGCTAAGTTCTGGGCTGGGTCATTCAGAACACCATCCACTGAGCTCAGATGAGAATGATGTTGTAAATGCAAGACCTAGTCGCATTGACACACTTGGTCGACATATACCTGGACATTTTGATGCTGTGCTGGTTGGCGATGGAAAAAATCAAATCATGGGCACTAAAGGTATATAATATATATTTTGGCTGATTTTGACTGACTTATATATTTTAGATCACCAAATTGCTCAAGTTTGACTTATCTTTTTCTTGCCTGAAGATATTATCAAGCACCATCTCAAAAGCACCAAACTTATACCATGCCATTTTGCATATATTAAATGGTTCACAGCATTTCAAGCATGGCATCCACATCATGGACTTTATTCAATCAAGCGCAAGCTTAAAAAAAATCAGCATTATATTGCCACTATTATTCTATTAGGTAATATTCAGCGTAGTGTTCATCTTTTATCTTCATTTGGTGCACAAACTCTAAAAGAATGGACAACTGGAAATGTTATGGATAAGTGTAGCACTTTCTTTGTCAACTCTTTCTCAGACAGGCATACATATCACATATTTGAGTAGTATCTGTTGTATTTATACAGCATGGTCAAATAAAAAGTGTGTACTTACCATATGGTTCAACATTTTCAGAAATGGCTGTAAATCACCCTCTTGCTTTTATATGAACATATAGCCCTAATAAATAGCTTTAAAATGAGCCCTTATTGAAGTTAAACAGTTGTAATTTTACTGAGATATAACAAAAATATTTTTCAGACATTAGATAGTTAGTGTTTTACTTTTTGAAAAGTTACTAGACAGCTATGAATTATACCATCACTTGCATTATAGTATAAAAAGTGTTAAGAATTAGTGGATTACCTATTTAGCAGCCAGAAAGTATGAAAAAAGCCACAAAAAGAAAAAAAAAGCAATGTCATAGTAAAAGAGCAGCAATTTCCTAGTGACTTCGACAATTAACAGTCAAAAAGACCCATAAAAGCCTACAATTAGTCAAACAGTATTCACATAGTATGCAAATAGTCAATTAGTTCATGATTAGTGTGCAGATAGTTAATTGGTTAATGGTTAGTGTGCACATAGCCAAGTAGTAAACAGTTAGAGTAGAAAAAGGCAGCTAGTTTTTGATTAGGGTAGAAAAAAGTAGCTAGCTTTTGATTAGTGAAGAAAAGAAGGCAAATAGTGAAAAAGCTTGTAAAAAGACAAAGGTTCACACTAATTAACAAATCTGATTTTTCCAGATGCGAATAATGGTGTATTACAATTGAGCTATTCCAATGGCTGAAAGAAAGGAGGTTCCAGGTGCTGATGCCCAATGTCCAAAGTACTGTCAGATGCCGGCCCATAATAGCAGCTGTAAAGCGTCACTCAGTTTTGTTGCTAATATTAGGATGAACTTGGCGCCACTGCCATCCTAAGCCCCTGCCAACCCCGCATGCACTGCTAATTACAGCTTGCAGCTGCACATATGTATAAGATCTGCATCGCTCGATGTGAAAGCCCTGATTCAATCTATCACAGTAGACTCGATGGCAGGTGAAAATGGACACATCACAGGTACTACACCGCTCATGTTGTTGCAGCCATCGGCACTGCACAACCCAACACCCCTGTCGCAAATAGAGCCTGAGAGCGGTCTTGCACCACACAAGCCAAAGTGGCAACTGTTCAACAGAGAAGATGTTGTATTAGGTGTCCAGGTATGGAACAATTCTTGAATCGATGCAATGTTAAACTCGGTGTGTCTCCGTTTATTAGCGTTCGTTAAACTGCTGGCATTCTCACACTTTTGTGCTATGCCAGCTTACAGCTCAAATGAATTTGTCAAACACAATAGCCGAGATACCTGTGCCATTTCATACTCAGCCCTCACCTCAGCAGCCTCAGATGCAGCCTGTGCAGGCAATAGTGTCCAAATTACCTCAGTTCAGATGCCTGTTCACAGCTCGATCAACCATGCCTGATGAGAATGTGGCCCCCGCATTTTCACTCCTAATCCTCACCAACTCCTACATGACAGCTCCGACGCTCAAGCCTTCACCCGCAAGTGGTTCATTGCGTCGCCCTTCTCATCACTCATGGTGGCATCTCCAAGCTTATCTTGTCCTTCCTCCACCCAATGCCTTGGTGGTGCAATGTCCTCCTCATCTGGAACTGTCACATGTTCTATCCCCAGTGTTGGCTTTCTAATCGGCTGCCAAGACGAGAGCAACTCCAGCATGCTTGCGTACACAAAGGCACAATGCGCTTAGTGGACTGCACGGACGACTTCTAGTATGTGCTCGTCATGATGACACACTTCGACAAGGGCCTGGAGATATTTGTCATTGGCACTGTGGAAGCAGGCCTCGAGGTCATGGCACACTCAAATCGCTTTGATGCAAGTCATCTCGTCTTTGAGAAGAACGCACATATAGGCGACAACCCACAAGATTCTCAACAGCAAGATCAGGGTCAAGTACAACATTGAGGTCGCACGGCAGTGTTGTGCTTAGTAACGGGAGTGGGTTCCTCGCAGATGTCATTGTTGATGCCACAGTGTGCATGCTCTTGACCTACTGCTGATACAGCAATCTTATTTCATGTGCATTGCTACGCAGCCTCAATGACAAGAGCGTGCTGATCTACATGCCGCTTGGCTTGGCTGCCGGTGCAGCGGTCCTGCTCGTGTGGAGCTCCAACATTGAGAGCAGGCTAGAGAGCTCTTCGAACAAGCTCCATGGCCTGTCGCACACATGGCTCATGATAGATGCACCTCCGCTGTTTGAACACAATGAATGCTTATGTTGATGCACTGTACAGGCAACTTCATGTGGTAACACTGCTTCTCCCTCTTGAAGCTCATCGCATTGCATGAGTGACCAACCTTTTTCTTCCATGACAAGCTTCAAGGTTGCTGATTGGTGTGGAATGTGCAGAGATTCAGAGCGAAGCAGAAGAGACTCTACAGGATGTCTATTGAGTGGTGATTGCTGCACGTGTGCTAGTGTTTGGTGCTCTCTATGGTAGTGGAGTTGTTGGGATCAGTGGCCAGAGTATTTGCAGCTGTTTGCAGCGGCACTTTGTCCATGCATTGTTACACACAATTCTGGTGCTTGTCCACTTTGACACAGCTTTTGTACACAGCTGGAAACAAGCAATGTAAGTCTATTTGGACACGTTGCTTGTGTATAGATTGAAGACCATAACCGTAGGGACAAAAATAAAGACCTACAACAGACAAAAATAAGTTAATATCGGATATCTGATGCATTGACTCCTAGGGCCATGTCTGGCTTTTTATGGCAATAAATGATTTGCAGAACTCTGAAAGGGATAAAGACAACCAAAGCAAGACTGGAACAATTTTAAAATAAGAGCACTGGACCGCAACGCAATAAGAGGTGGCTATTCGCTTTGGTGCCCGTATTGTGCAGCATCACAGTCAATGATCCCTGACAGCCATATATTCACAGTTCTATCCCATTTTTGAATCTGCTTGAAAGCAACTACATCAAGCATCCATATTAGAGTACAGAACAAGATAATTGTCCTGCCATAGAAGATCCAATCCCCATTCTGGGTGGGAAAGCAGACTGCTCGACATTGTCTTCCTCGATCTCACGTTCAGTGGATCCCACAATTGGCCTGAGGACGATGTCAGCTTCTGTGAGTTTCTGACAGCATGCGCTCAACATGCCTGAATGTTACACAAAGCCCTCTTCTAGCCCCCCCCCCCGTAGCCCCCCCCCATTATCCAGTGGCCATCATTGCAATCTCCGTCCATCTGCTCTGGTTGGCTACGGTTCAGAGGCTTTCCGATATTCCTGAGAAAATCAAAGGGCATTTTAAAGCTCACATACTACTCACCCGAGTTGTTTTCACTGACCTGATTGACCTGGTTAAGCTGGTGGAGGTCGAGGATGAAGCGTTGCACCAACAATGGGAGCTGTACATAGCAATATGTAGTCAGCAAATATCCCTGTCATTCTTGCTTGGGGAATCGTTACCAAGAACTTTATAAAGTTGGTCACATACATGCCTTGTCAGTACACCATCAGGACCTTTCCGGAGAAATGTACTCGGATAATCAGATCATACATGAGAGTATTTGAGTAAGTCAAGAGCTGTAGAGCACTTACGCCTAGAAGCGCACTCCAAGCCGATATTTCCGACAGAAATGCTGTAAGATTAACAAACAGCTTACAGAAAATAGAGGGTGCCTAGACCAATATTCTATGAGTCAATGTCGTGTACAAGTGGATGAAAGAAAAAGAAGTATGTACCATCTCTGAGGAGCACAGCAGAAATAAACGGACTTGAAGTGTGCCTGGGTCACCGCATCTCTCGCTATTGCTTGAACAACTTGATCCATGTCAACACAAGGACAACGACATTAGCTGCAACAACACTGCCTCTTGTTAGAAGAAGCACTGCATGTTTCAAGTTGATTGTAATGCGGTAAGGATAGGTGAACAAACGCAGTGTACATACTCCTAGATAATGCCGTTAATGTGCAGCTAAGTGATCACTGTAGTAGTAGGTTCAGGTCGTAACTGTGGAACATACTCTGTGTTCAGCTTCAGCAACATCTTGTTGAGCTCTGCACATCCAGCAGGTGACAGATTCTCCATGAAAGGGATCGAGATGTGTATCCAGTTGAACCAGATGTAAGTTAGTAAAGATCAACTACATCGCTGCCAATGGTGTCAATGAGGGGATGGCTCACAACATTTGTTTCAACTGGAATCGTCCCTAGTGCGAACACAACTGCAGGAAAGGCATACTGCATCCTCAAGCCTTTCCAGAGCGCATACACACACAGAGCAGAAAATACTTGGCAGAGGATTAGTTCATTTCCATGGAAGTAAGTTGACAGTGGACATGCTCAGTACTCACCCAAAACCAGGACTGTAACTGTCAAGTATGCAAGTGTTATAAGCGTGTTTGCAGGTTTGCACTTTAAATCAGATGCAGCAATTTGCCAGAAAATGATTCCATCACCAGAAAATATAATGTACGCCTGCAGAGCAGTACCATCAGACGGTCAGTCTGAGTGTATCCTGAAGTGTTGGTATACTCACACCAATCTCGACCGTCGGATATCGCCACCAGAGATGGGCCCAGAATCATAAGCCATCGGATGCTCAGTAGCAGCAGTGAGGTGGCTGTGAGCTTCCTTCTCCAGACTGCTACAATTTTCTGGTCCAGCATTATGAGGTATTCATAGACTACTAGGCCTGATAATAAAAGCCTATCAGCAAAGTGCTACTAAGGGAAGGGCTTAACAGTGCAGCAATGTACACAGTAGCAAGTAAATCACATATTTTCTTGCCAGACTGAATACATGGCTTGTAGGTCAGAAGCAGAGTATGCGCTCCAGCAAGAGGGAAACTGTACGCTTCTTGGAGTTCCTGTTTTGAATCTTTATCTGACTGTCCCATGCTTCCTGTAGAATAAAAATGTTCCAGCTAGAAGTTGGCGTAAGCGGATGATTTCACACACAGGCTATATATACTGAGGCACATGCAGTGATGTGAGGTGATTTACTGCAAGCTTTGATGTTACAGCTTGCTTCAGCACATGAGTACCTGACTACTATGAAACTTTTCGCACCTGAGAATGACATATGGCGTGACCATTCGAGGCCGTCTGTGGCTGCCCCTACAATCAGATGGAAATGTGGCACGAGTGGAAGATCGATTTCCTGATGCAGACTGCGTATTAAATCCGCACTTCTGTTGGAAGCAGATATTTCAAACCACTCGACAGACAGACAGATAGGCTGAACACCACTGGCAGACCGTGACTAGCCGTGGACAGAACATCAAAGAAGCAGTGCATGTTGAAGTAATAGATTGCCAGTCTGGTGCTTGTCTGTGATGTAGGCATGGTCGCGACGCAGACTGAGAATGATTATAACAAGGTACGGACACGCGGGGTCAAAGCTTTGAACTAGGCACACATTGAAGGCTCGCAAGCGCGGACTATATGGCGTCTACAAGCTGTTCCCCTCTGACCATCACCACTGCCCACCCATGCATTGCGTCCACTGTCGTAAAGCCAGCAATGGCCTGACGTTGTTGAGCTATTCCCCTTTTCTGCTCAGGGTCCTATCACGTGCGCTTTGCTATCTACTTGCACGCGTACTAACACTTCAAAGCTTCATGACCCTACACTCATCACCAGCTAACCTTGGCAGCCATGGTATTTGTCCCTCTATCTTCTCTACCCCACCGGCTATGTACCAGCAGTCCAATAATGCGTGCCAAGGCACCATCACACGTTCCACCATCTCCGCACGAGACTGAGATAAGAGGAAAAGGCATCATTCCTCTGCATGTACTGGCAGCCTCTGCACCTAGCTTCTTCGGTAAAGCTGCCAAGTAAGCTGCTTCATCTGTTAAGCTTGGAGTCGCTCCAATGTTGTACTTCAGGGCGCGGAGACATTTGAGTCCGCAGCACTCATTGCCAATGCAGGAGCAGGTATCAATGTACAATTTGAAGGCATACGTGGATATCAAGACATGCAATTTTGCTCGGCTCCTGCGTGCGTCCGCCATATTCGCTCCAATTTTAGTGCACAGACCCAGGGCTTTGAGTGAGGAGTGCGTTTGGATGCTTGCACTTGTTGTCATGCATACATTGCCATTGGCGGGTGAGGACTGCAAAGCGGCAATACGATCGAAATTGTGTGAGTTAAGGGCCCATACACTCTCGTAACCAAACAGTGGGCTGGCGGACTGAACGTGAGCCAATACAAAACAACTGAAATTGGTGTACAAGCAGTAGTTCTCAGCTAAGCAGAATCAGTACTATGGGAGCCTTTGGTGGTGGATGGGGAAGAGTAGTGATGTGCGGGCTCAGCTCAAAGCCTACAAGCCTGTCAAGCCCGGCCCAAAAAAGCCTAACCCAAGCCAGGCCTGGCAGCGGGCTCAAAGCCAGGCTTGAGATGAAGTCAAGCCTGAGCCTGGCCCGAAAGCCCAGGCTTGGGTGCACCAAATGTGTTGCCATTCCCTGGGCTCAAAACATGGTATGAACGACTTTATATATGCATATGAGACAAAATGTTGACTTACCAGACAGGGCGATCCCTGCTAGTGTGACTAAGCGCGATTGTGCGCCGCTGCCTGGCATTCTCTGTAGGCGCCCCTTCATGAACTTTGTCATAACATGGCTCGTAGCGCGGTTGCATGCCCTTTGGAGGCTGAAGTATGGTGAGTATATGCAATAGTAGCCTATCACAAGCAAATATACTGACTTTTTTAGCATACAAATACTTATCCTAAGCTTGGCAAACCCAGGCTTAAGCTCACGGCTTGGGCCAGGCTTAGGCTCGGCTCGGGCTCAGAGCTCGGCTCGACGTCGCCACAAGCCCAGACCTGGACTTTGAGTCCAAGCCGGGCCCACACATCACTAGAGAAGAGGGATGGAAGTGAACTTATGAGTGAGGTTTGTCAAGGTTTAAGATTCAGCGCCAGGCTTGTACTTGCCTTCTGCTCCCTAGATGGATCACGAACACACCATCTGTCCACAGCATGGTCAGCCATGTCCATTGACAGTATGATCTGCATATTCTCACTCTCAGCCTTTTACCAGCCTCAGCGCACCACCTCTCAAGAGCCCCAACATGCAAGCAACCATTCATGAGCAGATTAGCAGTGCCACCCTGCTCATTGCCCACAGCAATGTTCCAAAGCTCGTCTTGCCCTTCCTCCACCTGAAGTAATGGTGGTACAACGTCTTTGCCCCCAACTAGGACCTCCGAATCAACGCATCTTCCTCAATGTCGCGAGGAACCCCGTGCACATCTCCTTTGCAATAGGCAGGGGTACGGCGCGCCTGGTGTACCCTGCGGACGGCCACCTCTGGTACGCAGATTGCAACTTTCGCATGATTCTGGGCAACTAGGCAGCACGATACCAACATGAGCTCGAGTTTCCTGAAAAGAGCCCAGGGGTGGCTGTCATTGGTGGTAGGCAGGCGGACCCCAAGGTTGTGGCACTTATGAGGCATTTCGGTGAGGGTCATCTTGTTGTTGAGAAGAATATGCGGGCTGGGCGACACTTGGAAGGACCAATGTGGCAGTTTAACGCTACATAGTCTGATATGTGCGTAGTTTCTGATCAATGCCCTGATGGCAACTATTAATATGGCACGTCAGTAAAAGCGGCAGTGAACTCACTTATAGGCCAAAAGAATCCAGCTTCTTGTGCCTCTTCCTACAACAATTGCCTGCTTGGCCATTCACCTCCATCACAAGATTTGATGCGTTCAGCGCGTTCAGTGACGTTGTGACTGATGGACCACTTTGTTCTCCACTGTCAATTAGCGCACTCGGAGCTTCTGTGAAAGACGCCCAGCATTCACCTACCATTGTCGGGACTAAAGTCGTGAAGTCTGACGCGGCTTGTGAACACCTTCATCTCCTGCTAGGATTTGTTGGCATAGCACACCAGCCATTTCTCTCCACGTTTGACTGCAATATTGGCCACAAACACGAAGGCGAGCTGGTCAGCGGAAAACCATGAGATTTTGTGGAGGCTGTGAAAGGTGCGGATGTCTCAGGTAAGAGAGCATCAGAGCGAAGGGGCCTTGCCACCATGGCACAATGTACAGCGCATTGTCAACGAGTGCAGACAGTCCTGCATCAGACTTTTGGTAAATTTCTCATAATCTTAAATATACCCATACACAACCTGCAAACAATTCTGATACACTAAACTATTTCAAACTCCCAGTAAGAGTATATATAGATTGGTGGCATTTTTTGATCTGGCCAATTTTAGTCATAATTGTAGGGTTTATATAGTCTGCATAACATATATGTGTATTGTATAGTTATATAATACTATATAATTTGCAGCATCTATGCATGGCTCATAAGACAGAGCAAGTGTGCTGTTCATAAGGATTTGGTCACCCAGGCTCTGCTTTCATGCATACCAAATGCTAATATTTTGCACAAATAAACTTCCATTGGTTTTACTACTGATAGCTACTAAAGAAGTATTATACTATTATGCCATGCCACTCCAGGCTCAAGCTTCCACTCGCATGACTGCTACACATGGCAGAGTGGCTGCAGCAGGAAGAACAACACAGTACTGTGCACCACAGGGTCCATCAAGCTGATAGGCACTAACATATGGTGCTGGTGCAAGGTCAGGAACACATTCTTGACCAAGTTGAGTTGTGAGAAGTCAGCAGACAATAAATAGACAAGAAGCTGACAGAACTCACACAGATAGCAGGTCTAGCAGACCTCGCAGCATCATCAGCTGAGGTAATGTCCATGTCCATGCCAGCTCACCAGTCTCATCATGGCAAAATAGTCCATGCTCGGCGCAAGTTTCATGTTGCTGCTCAACAGGCCACGTGTCTGTGGCAGGAGCTGACCTTTCAAGCACGAGCACGCAGGCAGCAGGCCTTCAAAGAGGGGGCACACCCATGGCAGAGGCTGATCCTCAGGAAAGCTGAGTGAGCAGTGGGTGCATAGGTGTGAGCAGCGGTGACTCACTCTGCACAGCTGCAATGCTGGTGCCAGCACCAACGAGGACAGGCGAAATTGGTAGAGCCTACTCATGGTGAGTAGCACAACACACTCCTCGCAGAGTGTGTGGATGTGCAGTGAGAGTGAGTGCAAGAATGGGCCTGCCTTGGAGGCAGTGGCAGCAGCATCGTACAGGAAGTGCGGCAAGAGTGAGCGTGTGTTCTGCTGGTGTGGCAGCTCAATCACAGGTGGGAAGATCAGTTTAGAAGGTGAAGGTGGTGGGACTTGTGGAGACGAGCAGCAGAAGCTGACAAGCTTGGGCACCTGCATGGGCCTGAATGGCTGGAATGGGCTGCTGGCTGCTGCTGCTGCTGCCGGGGCAGGTGCAATGGAGCATATGATGGCGTGACGAGCGAGGCAGTGAACTAAGGAAAGAAATCAAAAGTCAAAGTTAAAAAAAAAAAGGCATAGAGCACCACGCACCTGGATGACAACATATCCCAACAGGCAGACCTGTCCTCTCTTGGGCAGAAGCTTGTTGTCCAGTGCAGTGGATTAGACATCAACTGATTGTGGACATGCTGGATGAGGCTGTATTCAGCACACATCCGCAAAGGAGGGCCAGAGAGACGGAGCGAGGCTGTATTCAGCACACGTCCATGAAAGAGAGCCAGAGAGTCTGGACAAGGCTGCATTCAGCACACATCCACGGATGAGAAGCACGGACACAGGTAATGAATGTAGTTCAAAAGCAGGCGTCGTAGCACTAAGCTGGGGTTAGTAAAGTACAAACATGGGTAAATAACGTGCACACGGGGCACCGGTAAATAGGCTCGAAAATCGAAACAAAAATTCAATGTTGAGTGCATATTTTATTGCTTTGCTCACCATGCTAATTGGTCATGTCTTGTTGTGCCTTCGTATCTGCTGCATCTGCAGCTACTGATTGTTCCGTTTGTCTAGGATCAGGTTGTGATCCAACACAGCTGGAGTAAGACATCTATATTGTAGTATTCATAACATGTGTACGTACATTGTATGAGAATGCTTTGCTGTGCCACAATTTCAATGGTATATATTTATGTGCTCATCATCATCTTGTTGTTACAAACCCAAGACAAACTTGCCCTCCTTGTACGTGGCACAATTGCATATAAACCTTCATAATCTTAATCAGAGCGCCCGTGAAGAACCAATGTGAGACTCAATGCATGCTGCAAACAAATTTATTCAAATGCAAGTGACAGCTTCTGTTTCAGCATTTCCCGGTGATATTGCGCAAGGTTGGAAGTGTGGGAGGGAACTAAGAGGAGGAGAATACAATGGGAGGCCTTGTGCGTATTGGCCTGCAAGTGTGGCACTATTGTTTTCACGCAAAAAGATTTGTCTGTGTGGTGTTGTGGGCGTAGCCCCAGCCTCCTATTATTTTTCCATTTTTACTGATTTTCTACGGTTTATTCCATATTTATACAACCCTCCAAAAACATTGTCAGCGCATCAGCGCCAGTTTGCAAGTCCTAGCCGCACTAACACCTTGAGAACGCATCACCGATGGGCTTGCATCAGCATATCAAAATGGGCCTGCATCGCTGCCGCACCACAGTAATAGCCGCACTCCGATCAGCAATGGACTTCTGATTTCCGTCAGCCCGGTAACGTCATACAACATGACACTCCGACCCCCGTCTATCTCTGAGTCTGATCGGCAACGAACATCTGACCCCCATCGGCCCTGCAACGTCATATGAGATGACACACTGGCCCTCGCTTCTCTGCCAAAGTCCCCTGAATAATAGCAGCTGCCATAGCACAGTCGCTTATGTAACACCTGGTCCATGCACAGCCTGACTAGTATATAAGAAGTCCCTTTGTTGCTACCTAGCTCCCATCTCAACCTCTTGGTTATTGGGCTAGGTAAGCCTTCACTTGTACTTTAGTATAGTCACTAATACACTTGATTATTGGGCTAGCTGAATAAGCTAATGCATTTGTCGCCAGACCATTGTCGGTGCCGCCTTTTGTTTAGATCCACTTAGTATCCCTCGTGTTATGTCAACACTAGTCCACAATAGGTGGGGCGACTGCCTGGAATGTGCGTTATCAGATGGCGCAGTAAAGACTGGAGGACTCCTGAAGAGATGAGCAATGTACGGCTGTGGTATACCCCATACATGTGAGTATGTATATGTAAGACTGGGAATAGGCACGTACCATGAGAAACGCATTACATAAGGCCCCTCTCAGCTTAACCCTGCGTATCTCTGCATATTACAGGCAGTTGCATCACTCACTTGAATATCATATTGGACATTTTGACTCAGTTGAGTTGTATTGCGATAGAGGCCGTAAGCTGTTGCCAGGTGCCGCACTGCAGTGACTGCCAAAGTAATGGTAAGTTAGCCTCACCTTACTGCGTTGTTGATTATGTCAGCTTTAGCTAACCCTTATTACTTATTATAACTCCCCACGATTAACGCTGCTCTTACCTCAGATTTGTAACACACTTCAACATGTCCTTACTTTGCTCTTTCGCGTTCTAACCTTATCTCAAGAGAGCAGTCTCCTGCTGCATGCTCTCATGTAACTTGTTCTCTCTATCTCTCAATTGAGGCCTGCCAACCTAGCTCTCTAGCGTGCCATGAACGCCATGAGCTCCCTTGGCCTCAGCACTGCCATTGCAAAAGCCTAGAAGAGCTATGCTGAGAGCAGGATATCAATCGATACTGCGCTAGTGCACCAAGATATATTGAACAATGCATTGAAGTCCATCACGTGTGGTCAAAAGGATGCACCCGAAAAGCTTCCATGATGCTGCATGAGGAAGATCTCATATCTTGATAATGTGGAGAGACAAAAGGCAGAAGTATATAGAAAGCGTACCATGGTGAGTTTTGTGTTTGGATGCTGCATAAGATAATGACTGATATTCAAACTTCATAGCTCACAACTCTGAGATATGCTTTTATTGTGCCCTTTCCTTGCATCTTCACTTCCAACTTTTGCCAGCTTTGGTACAACATCTCCTAACAGTCCTAATGCGCTAACCCATTACCCATGAACGTCCCACTTGCCATCGTGCTTTGTGTTGTCTGTGGCAATATTACCAAGCTGTTCCGGTTCTTTCTCCTTTCTCCACGTCAGTCACACAACATCTTCGCGCTCATCTGGAATCTCCACACCTTCCATGATCAGTCCCAGGTGCAGACTGTCCTGACGGACCCCTTTGGTGAGAGCAG